ATATTGTCACAATCAAAAAGTTGGGATGGTCTGATTGAAGCTTGTAAAACACTAGATATAGGTATATGTAGCCTTGGGTGGGCTTGTTTAGCACTTTTTGAATTTTCGTGAACAGTAAATATTGAGTGCATGCACCTATGTGACAAAGGGAGATAATATGTATGTCCTCCACATTCAAGTTCTCCTCAATGAACTCCTCTAAATGTACTTACTCTGGGCCACAGAGCAGGAGTACCCAATCATGGGTGAATAGTGGAAGTGGGGTGTGGATGTTCTGGAGACTACTAGTTGACTGATTGGCGTTGAATATCGGATTAAACCCAAGTCAAAGCTGACCACTGTCAGCAAGTCATGTTGAGGACGACAATTGTCTGTGTTCAAGCATGATTTAATGATATGAAGTATGATGGTTTTAAGAGGCTTATGGCTCAAGTATTTGCCTCTACCACAGATGCACATAGCAAGGGGATGAGGTGTACTGAGCGGGGAGTAGAGCGCATCTCACAAAGCATCACCAGCTGCCCAAGCACAAAAATGGGAGAAGCGACAATAATTGTAAAAGCCCAGATGGCTGATGATACATCGGTTCTGCTTTCATGCTGTCCTCTTCAATCATCCATCTGGGTTAGGCATGTAGAATTGATGCGAAAGCTCTGTGAACCAGGAAAGTCAAAGCAGCGTTCTGAGCTTGGATAGCTGATGGTCCGAGAATTCAACACAATGATGGATTCCCTGATTATCGTCTGTCTGAGTACAAGGAACAAAGAAAAGGAAGTGACAGTGATCATAGAATTGTTTGTCAAGTTTTTGTTCAGGTCCTCATGATCTGTTGACACCCTTGGAGAAAGTAGCACATCTGTCAGCGTGAAGCATTGAAATTATGACACGGACCCAACTGTTGACACCATCGAGTTCCTACTCATCCATCTGGACCAGTCAATGGACTCGGGCAAATGGAGTATGAGGAGGAAATTCTGTTTTTGAAAACGAAGATTCATGTAAGACCAGATGGCTGATAAAGCAATGACTCTTCATGGCAATCCTCATTTCCCTATTGTCTATTTGAGCTGTCCATATAGATGGACTACAAGGAAAATAAGTGGGTTGCAGGGAGCCACAGCATACTAGTATCCTAGACAAAAGCTCATAGAAATGCTTACCTTGAGCATTGAGATACATGGTTTGATCGATAGATGGGCTCATCGTTTTTGGGTGGGGTTGGGGTGAAGGTCTAGACACGGATCTATAATTAAGTGAGTCTATGCTCGAGGACGCCAGACGCATGAGTGCTGCTGTATCGATGGTGAGCCTGGCATATGTCATCTAGAGCAGTGAAACAGGGTAGTGGCAATTTTTGGGGGGTGCAGACTCCCATATTGGAACACGCAGATCAGCGTGGGACCGTGGGTGAATATGGGCGGGCATTGTCAGATCGACAATCTGAAGAGAAGACGTGTATGTAGGAATGAGTACTGGTACTGAGTACTGAGGCCCAGGAGTAGGGTTATGTCAGCATAGGTATATGGTATTATGTAATACTTAGCTAGTACGAATCTGCCATTACAAATTTCGTTTCTATCCACAGCCCTGTACAACAAACGGCGCAACCATATAAGCCCTGCACGCTATCTTCTGGCATTTGCCGCCTCGATCGGTCATTAATATTAATATTTTGGGCTGTAAGCATCACAGGAATAAGATCAATGTGGTGAGTTATCACTGCCACTTTGATGAAAACATGCGCTATGCTAAATCCATCTTGCAATTGATGGAGTGCTCTTACTAGGATGCTATCCAAGGATGGAACTCCGAAGTGGGGTGGGCAACTGCGCACGCGGCGAGCAATCCCCGGAGCAAGGATTTGGGCGGAATGAGGAAAGCAGCATATGGGATTAAATGGTGAACGTACAGGTGAGTTATCAGTCTGCTTCATTTGGACCTCCCTTGTTTTACATTCCAACAGAAGCCCACCTTGTCGAATGACCTCGGAGGTGCTGTCACGTTCAGGCCTGCGAAACGACTGCTAATGCCCATCGAGAGCCATTGAGATGGCAAGTTTTTTCGAAGGTCACATCACACCTAGGCCGTTGTTAGACAAAGTTTTACATTGAGTTCCATTTGATTTAGCGTGGAGGGGCGTGCCTTGGAAGCTGTGTGGCCCGGGTGAGTCATTATACAATTAAGAGCCCTGGGATTGAGACGCTGCTGAGGCTTGTCAATCAGGTTATAACGATATCAGCTGGTGCAGTTTAAAGAACGACAAGTCAGGTTTCATGTGGTCATAACAGCGCGCCCGAGTCTTCTTTTCCATGTCCTCTCTCAGCGCTGTCTTAATTTAGGGATGGCATTGTATCTTCACTAGATATCAATCATAGATTCTCAACCAGGATGTCTCCGGGTGTGTCTGTCAGCACCGCACCAACACCACGTTGCAAATTGAAGCTTCTGCTCTCACCATGTTTGGCATCCCTATTCAGAAACAAAAGTCCGATGATCGAGGCAGAGGGCAAACTCCAACTGCTTCACGACCAACATCTATGTTGGGCGCATGAATTAAGTTCATCTTTCTCCATGTGAAAATACTTACTTTGGGTAATCAATGCAGTACTGGATATCGTCTCTCGATCTCATTTTAGTAATCGAAGCACATGATTGTGGTATATCTAGCACGAATGCCATTGTCATATGTCTATCAATTTTGCCTCTCACCCACACCCATTCTTACCAATATGACCATAGTCTCAGATGATCCCGCTTGGTGGCCGACCATCAGTACATTTCGTGTTTTTAGCTATTTCGTAGGTTCGTGGAGAGCAGTCGGACGTCGAAGCTGATGTCTCAATCTAACCTTGGCTACGGTTTCGCAGTTGCCGCGTTTATTGGAGTGACGTACGATTGGGGTGAGCATGATGATATAAAAGGACTGCTGATATATCTGACAAGTATTTTCAGTACTTACATTTGGGCAAGAGGTATGTTGATGCCATGACCGGAGCAGCCATCTTGCTAAGAATGGTCCTATAGGTCGAATTGATCTGGGTGAGTAGAGTCTCTTGTTACAGGAACACAGTGAAAATACACTTAATCTAATTACAGAGGCAACGCTGGTCCCTAATGACAGTTCTGTATCTCTGTGTATGTAGCTTGTTTGTCGCGGTTTCCATGTTGTGCTGACTTGAAAGTATCCTAGGTGCGCTACCTTGGAATCTTAACTGCTGCGTATGTTCAGAAGGCTAAACAATCGGTGTTGTGCTAATCGTCTATCTTTCATAATCAGCCTGTACATGCTGAGTATGTCTCCTCAGTACATGCACTGTCTTTGCTTTTTCTGACCAACAGCATACAGGCGATATTCAGACTATCCCGCTGACAGATACAGTGAGTCTCCTGCACAGATGCATATTATTCTTCTCCAATTGACCGTGGTGCCCTGTAGAAGTGGGTGTGGTTCTTTACTAACTCCTTGGTTTACTAATGACTGCTATGCTATACTGCCGTAGATGTGAGTCTACTTGGAGTGTGTGCTACGAGGCTGGTCACTGAATGAATTCGTCAGGCTTTATTGTATACGTCATACGGACTTGGACGAATGTTTTGGTATCTGCAATGCTGTGGGGTGAGCTTGGCACTTGCGAGAACTCAGTGATATTGACTTGACTAAAACATGCTGCGAGTCATCATCATCACTCGGTTATATGCCATGTATCAACAATCCAGAAAGATCCTGATATTTCTCATTGTCACCTTCCTGGCTGATGTCATTTACAACGGAGTGGTTGCCGTGATAGTAACCCTACACGTTTCAGGAGGTACGTTAAATGTGGATGGAAAAAAATGGTGCTCAATGATGAATACCAGACGAACTCATCCTCTCCGGCACCTATCAGTGTTCGATTAACTATGTGGGAAATATCCCACTTCTGGTTTCCATTAGTTGGATCCTTGGCGTCGTGTGGGAGGTCCTTGCACTATGTCTCGCGATATGGATTGCTATAAAACACTTCCGTGAACTGCGACATTTAACAGGAGGGATTATCGAAGACTGTTTTACGGCGTTGATGAAAGTCACATGCTTTACTTTGCGAGGTGAGCTCGTGCTGTGAATATGATTTCTTTTTTCCGCTGAGGGATCGGACATGTTAGTTTGGTTGCTGTTTCTTGCTTCGAGCTCATTCTTGATTTCTATCCAACACTCTCAACGGTATGTCAATCTTTCACTTACTTCTGCACGCTGCCACGGTTTATCGTTTTCATAGGAATTTACCTTGGACGCTCAGATTTATTCTGGGTTTGTTCAGATTTTGGCGGTCCTACAGGTGTTTGTGCTGGGACCACGCCTGATCCTTAGCGTTCGGGAATATCAAGCTAGGCTCGTGGTTGACTCCGATGCAGCAACCGGCATGACCTCAATCGCTTTCCAAGAGCGTGTGAATATATCGACTGGCAGTAGTGTGTGATGTTCGGTGAAGTTGACAGTTGTCTAGTGCTCTGCGAGGAGCAGGGGAATTTGCTTTTATTTATTCGCACTTTTTGATGGTGTTCCAAGGTGGATTTCAAGAGACATACAAAGTTTTCATCACAGTATTTAATTGAGTGATTTGCTATATGTGCTGACAATGTTTAAACCAATATCCTAGTAACTGGCACCAGCTACTTGTGATTGCTTGGGAAAATAAGCATGTGAACACCGAGAGCGAAGTCAAAGCGACAGCGCACTACTTGAGTTCCTCCGAGTCAGCAATTCATCTTCTCGCCTCATTCAATGTCCCACCATTGTCTTCTCACCTAACTGGCTTACAGAAAATTCACTCAAGATGATTGCAAGGGGCCAGGTATGATCCTTCCGCACCTGCTGTGGTTGTGACGTATCTAAATAGCTCTAAGTTTGCATGGGAGGGTGTTCTTGATGCTGTATAGGGTCGGCGTCGTGTGATCAGAGCTTGTCTCTCTCCTCCTGTTGACATTTTTCTGTCTCGCAGCCGACTGAAGGGGAGTCCTCGTTGATTTATATAAGCTCAATATATGCAGATACTTTGTGGATATCGTAGTACATAGTGACACAGAAAAATCGGGCCCTGGACTACTTGTTCCTATGAAGTATCATAGAATTTTACTAGGACGAGAGCCTGAGCCTGAGTAGAGGATTTCACTTTACCTCATTTCTCAAGTTGGAGCATCACACGCGGGAGTCCATCTCGTACTGCTCCAACGTCTGTGGCGAAGTCCAACAGATGCAATCCTCGAATGTCGTACTGACATGCATACAGGTGTCGTTGGCATGCGTTTCCCAAATGCTGATGATAACACGCGGCACGATAATAAATGGCGCGGTACCGTTGAACAGCTGTACGAGATACATCACCACCGTCTGTGTATGCCTGTATTAGAGCACATCTCTCTAGAATCACAGGAAAAATACCGGAAGGTCGGCCCACATTATCGCCATGAAGATTTGAGTTGCCAAATTCCTAGCGTGACTCGATGAATACTTTCAGAGAACATGACAAACGAAGGGGAACTTACAGGACAAAGTATATGACATGATATCGGACGATCATGACTACATATGCATTAGGCCTTATTTCAAGTTCCTTCCGTTCTTTCAGGTGCTTTCCGAGGACGGCAATGGCGAGAATAACCAGGAAAATATCATAGCATATGACGGGGATGGAAGCGTATACCGCAGGCAGAGGCCCGACGTGGAAGAAATACGTGCAGTACTTGACGTTTGGAGTTATTACTATTTCTTGCACTATGCACGAAGGCATTAGCTTGCGCAGAATTCGATGAAAGTAGAAATTCACTTGAGATCGCTGAGGGTTGACTCCATAAAAATATATCCACCGCTATATAGAGCGCGACGATAGGTAGGAGCAACCCCAGGGAAACGTAAAGTATGCGCTTCGATTGGTTGCATAGGGCGTAAAGACGCCAGATGAGAATGACTGCAAATGCAAAATGGGTACGCGCAAAGATGCGAGAATTATGTATATGACTTGCCTTTTGCAAAGCACAAATATACAGAAAAACCCCATTGCACAAACAAAAACATACTATAACCTATTTCAATTTCATGATGAGCAAAGCTAGTTTCAGGTGAATACGATAACTCACATCTAAACAAGAGGTCAGCCGCAGGAAATCAGGCCTAGCGTAACGAAATTCGGACGTACGGCTGAATCTGGGTCAACCTAGAACTCTCTAAAGAAAGAATTGACACACTCACTGATTCAGGCATATACAATAGACCTCCCCCTAGTGCTGGTCAGTTAATGAGGGCTTGGTTTGAATCACGTCACGTACAACAGGCGCAAGTCCTAGACGTTAGCGTCAATACAAAATGTACCATCTGGAGGATACAACCAGCGCGACGTACATTGCAACCACAATACCAAAATATCGAACCTGACATAGCGACAAAAATGGGAAACCATGAAACACTTTGGCAGGGTGGAGCTCACAAAAAGGTATAGATATGACATCGCTGACCACGGTCTTTCCTGCATATTCAGTCAGTCACATCTCGATATCGTTGGGATTGAGCTCTCACCCAAACAAACGTGATCTGCGATAATATGATCATAAGTACTCGACGATGATAAACTGACTCCTCGTTACCCTCTTTCTCAAACTGAAGCACTAGATAATATTACGCTCAGTCGCACTGCAAGGTTCATGAAAGCCACTGACTGTACTCATAGGATATCAGGGTAATGCTTGCAACTGAAAGACGATGAAGTTCAGCACAATGATTTGTTTCCAACAAGGCTGACGAACCTGATATGTTGTTATTCCAATCAAGAGCATAGAGAGATCCTTCTAGTCCCGACATGACACTGTGCAGATCAAATGGGGGATTCAAAAGTGAACGATAGGCTACTGATCAGCAACGTGCAATACTTATAGGGCAGCCTGATCGGAATCTTGTTAATTCGTAAGGGTTGTGACTTGTGGCGTCCTAATGAAAATTGTATGACATCGTGCGGAGCTTGCGGTGCCGCACTTTCCATTTGATGTTGCACATCGATGATCACACGGCTGACAACTTGAAGGGTCACCCTGCGTCACTGGTGGCTGTAAAGTCTACTTCTTGGGCTATATTCTGCCTGTCCAACTCTATTGTTTAGGTCGAAATGCATGGTCTAAATCGAACCTCGAAATAAGCGAAGCGTTTGCAGGCCGTTAACATGGTGACGTCCTTATGGGAATGTGATTTCTTGGAAAGACATGGCCACGATGCCTCCGAGGACACCCGCGATCAGAGAAATACCCTATTTTACAGTATGAAAATATAAGCAACTTAACTATTGGCAGAACAGAAATGACGGCCTGACCCCTCAAAGTGGGAGTGGAGAGCAGGATGGGAGCGGCACTGGGAGGGAGAGGTAGAGGAGTCATGAGTGAACTTAGTCCTCTGGAACAAATTATGCCATGCTGTACTGTCAGATGGAGTACGAAAATACAGAGTCGGCCCTAATCGACTTACTCCAAGTAAGTCAGGGAACTTCTGCCAGGGCTGGAGTTTGAACACTTGAAGCGTCCCTGAACACTTGGCCGTACCCTGATCCTGACTTGATCCTGATTTGGGAACCGGCATGCCAGGACCGTACGCGCGAGGTCTCGTGCTGTGATGGCGAGGTCCAACATACACAATCCTGCTGACATGTACGCAGTTCCCGTTGGCATGCGTATCCCCGAAGAGGTTGGCGAGATTAATCGCTGACGTCGGTACGTGTATGCGTTAGCTAAGCTTTGTGGAATCATGCAAGTATCATACCAGAATATTAGCCCACAATGGGACCAAGAAGATTCGGGTCGTCAAATTTATAGCAGAATTTGATGACTACTTTCAGAGAGCCCACCGGACGAAGGGGAACTCACACGATTAAGTATATGATATGATACGAACAATCATGAGCACGTGGGTATTCAAGTTAGGTTTCATTCCGTTCTTTCAGGTGTTTCACGAGGACGGCAGCTGCGAGAATAACGAGAAAAGTATCATAGCGTATGGTGGGGAATATATCGCAGGCATTAGCCCCAAGTTGAAGGAAGGCGCACAATATTCGACGTTCGAAGTGACTTTCTTTCACTATGCAAAGAAACGGGATCAACTTGCAGCCAATTCGATTCAAGTAAAAAAGGAAAAAAAAAATCACCCGAAAACGCATTCTGTCGACTATACGGAAATGATATCCATCCCTATGGTGAGGGCGACAATAGGTGAGAATTATAGAACAGCTCCAGAACACAAAGTCTAGTAGGAGTTTGGATTAATTGGTTGTATGGCACATAGAGACGCCACACCTGCCAGTAGTTTCCACGTAAGTACCCGATCTAATATACAGGTGTCCCCATGTATGATGTGACGATGACTATGTAGCTCGCGGAGCCCAGAGTCACCGGCACAAGAGAGAAATGCTCTCGGGAAATAACAGGATAAAAGTCTGATATTTGGGGGTCCAGAAAACACTAAGGTAGCACTAGTATGAGTAGGTACAGTATTTAAGAAAATCAATAGTGACTTACGGAGACACACGGAACGTCGGGTTAAAACTGCAAAGAGCGGGTAGTAAGATATTCGGCCGATGGCGACATCGAGGACAAACTTGACGAATAAATGAGTGTAGTCAGAAGTTTGAGTTTAGGAATATTAAGGACAAGGCCCTAGTGCCACCCCGATTCATCTCATTACATAAGTGATCGTATTTATATCCATCCACGTGCCACCCTCACGCGTAGTCAGCCAATGAAAATCGTTCATCGTTCAACGTTCATTGATCCACCGGCCGACAGTCTCCTCCATGAAGTATTCACTTACTTTGTTCTTGTTCGCTCCGTCTTCTTGGTCTCCTGGTTCTCCCACTGTCCAGTGCTCCGTAAACTATCTATTCAGTCCAACCTTTGCTTTTGATCTAACATAACAGAAATCAAGTAAGAGTATGGGCCTCCGGCGTCAGTGGCGTAGCACGCTCACGTTCATGCCAACAAAAGGATTTGCTGCTCCCCTGATAGGGTCCCAGCTTTCACATACCACTACGGCCACGACGGCCGTCTCTTTGCATACGTGACGCGCTAGTAATTGTACGTACGCTCACCTGAGCCAGTTAGCTGACTTGATTCGATCCTCCCAGTGTGCAGATCATTCGAGCTGAAGGCGCACAACTACTCCAAGAACTGAGCGCTCCAAAACCATTGAACTCAGGCTCTCTCCCCATGCGGCATACTCCAGGTAACTTCGATCGTTGCGTCACGCTGAACAAGGAACCGATCAATGCCGTCCCGTGGAGCCCATACTCGAAATAATTCAGCGTTGTTTGTGGATGTTAGTTGTCTCCCTTGGTCGCGAAAGTTGGTTGCCTGCAAAACCAGTTCTTGGATCATCGTGTGCGGATTACTATTTCAGATCCTCTTCTCATAACTTCATCCCGTTCAATCTTTCCGGGTTCGGCACCTGGCAGGGAAAATTGACATAATCGGCGCCTCATTTTGCAAGCGTCGCCCTTCAGCAGGTTCCTCTTGACACATGTACCCTGTTTCCTCGCCTCCGTGTAGACAATGGAATGAAGGTCTGGAGTTGCACTGGTGGATCTATGCGTCCAGGTCTTCGAAGAGTTATACCAGGCATTTTCGAGACCCACTCCGCTTGATCAGGCACTCTCATTTGGCCAGGATATCCTGCCACACCCCTTCCCTCACTCCGTACATTGGTGGCAGCACTGACAGCTAGGCCTGTCACACCGTATCCTGCAGGAGCTGACCGACCGCCTGGTGCAAATAGACTCACAAGTTGCACAAGATGTGTGTGGCCGGTATACATAATCGAAAATTCCTCAGGGAATCACCCTTCGCCCAGCAACCGTCTCCTCTAGCGATCTGTGCAACCTTCTCTCGCTCTTCTCGCAGTACTATACCCAAGCCCGAGCACGCTGGCTTTCCTAATGAGTGGTGCACCTCTATCGTCAGCTCCTTGCGTTCCCTCTCGTCCATTGGCACAGTGTAGACCTGGGGTAGCTTATGTTAGAATGCGTGAAGCTCCACGCAACCCTCAGATATAGCAACAGTGATGTCGTTCCAGTCGTCCTTGAATATCACTGGCGACAATGCCGCAGGAGCAGTGCAAGAAAGCATACCATTGATGATGTATACGTGTGAGAAGTCGTCGTTCTGGATGTACTTCCCTACTACCCGACATCTAGATATCGGCTCGGATATGGGCATAGAATCCAATAGGACTTTGCCCAAGCAAATATCTGAGGCGAAATAAGGAAAATTTTGAGTAAGGAACTGTCCTCACACAAACCTTTCTTCATCAATATTGCGTGAACTGTCAGTATTGGACAAGTCACTCTGGTATCAGGCTCGTAGCTCAATATATCAAACCCTTTTCTCAATTGAGGATGTGGTCAGCTAGTTACGAAGTGGGGCAGTTAAGTACTACCTTTGCAACTGTCATTAATATTACGACTACCGGCACGATGCTCCGCCACTCCTGATATGTTTTTAATCAGGGTCCAAGACGACCCACCACTGATAATTAAATTTGGCTACCAGCCAATATGTGATTGTACATGGATCTCCCTTAGACCACAAACTAAAGAAAACAGTCGTACCTATAGTCTAAGTATACGACGCATTGTAGTGCCTGAGAGCGAGCTGGTCCAGGATCGAAGTATCATTTACAAGAAATCCACTTGCGAGTTATCAGCAAAGCATCGAGAATTTGGATTCGGTCATTTTCACAGACGGTTTCGACGACACCTGTTACAAGCGTGCATTTGACACCCTGCACAACGCTAATAGATGTCAAATCAGAAGGTGTGTCGACGTAAGAAAGGTGACGCAAACGACTTACGAAGAGGTACAGTGGGAGATGCATTTCGCAGCTCTCACAACGTCCGCCACCGCTCCGGTATTTCCAGCTTGTGTGGTCACAGTCGTGGTCCACTCTGAGACGCTCCATGGTCTCCCTGATCATACGCTGTCTGACAGCGTTCCTATCCAAGCCCGACGTTACGGTAGTTGATGCGGGCTGTGGCTGTGGTACGTCTGTGAACCATGCTGAAACGCGAGCATTCGCCTCGGCACGGCGAGTCCTGCGAGTCTGGGAAGGGGGTTCTGGAAGAGGTGCTGGTGCTAGTGCCTCACGACGGAGAGTCGTGGTATGGGGTAGAACAGGAGGAGGAGCTGGGGCAGGTACCTCAGCATGACGAGCCGTAGCCCAGATATTGACAACTGGCGCTGGTCTGGGCGCTGCCACAGGAACCTGTTGAGGAGGGTCTGCAGGGCGAATATTGCCAAATACAATTGGCGCTGGTCTGGGCGCTGCCGCAGGTGCCGGTCTGGGTAGATTAATAGGCTGGTTTCTAGCAGCGCCAGCAGCTGGCACTGGTTGGCGCGCTGCAGGTGCCTGTTGGGGAGGATTAGCAGGCTGGGCACGACGTGCGGGCGGTAGCTGAGCATCCACGCGACGCTCTGCAGCAGCAAGCAGCCTAGCCTCGTCCCACTGCGGGCACCTGCAGCTCTTCCAGAGTGCTTTGCACAGATAGCAGAACTCTGTCTTGCATCGGCAGGTCATGTGGAAACACCCCATGTTAAGCTCGATCATCTGAGCACAGCCTGGACAACGTGCCCACCCTGAGGCTTGGCTGAGTGTGAGTACTTGCTCAGTCTCTGCATCGGTAGTGCAGCTGTGGGTGTACCCTTCGTATCTACCACGACATTTTCCACACGTCGTCGTAGTACACGTGGGGGACGGGCATGTAAAGACCTTGGTGAAAAACCCCTCATATAATGGCCCGAGGAAACGGCTGCACGCTGGTGCAACACAATAAACGCGCTTCATGGTCCCAAATTCTTGAGCTTTGAGGGTAAACTCAGCGAGGACTTCCTGTGTCAGGTGAGACCGAACTTGTGGGAGTGGAATGTTCTGGCGACAACATCGAGGAGGATACAGGCTCTCGTCGCGGGTGGCTGATTGGAATAGGTTGGTGATGCAGTCGATATCATAAAAATGGCCACATGGTGCCCGAACTTCTGCTCCGAAGATGGGATCCTGACAGATCACACAGTCATGGCCAGTAGCCCTAGTTATGATAGTGTCAGTAACAATGCATTGGTATAATAGGTAGTAACACGTCTCACCGAGGGCGGGGAGGAGGGGGAGCTGGCCTAGCTACAGTGGTGGGCACTCGACCTGGATTTGCCCGGAGTGGGGGGGTTCGACCACCCGATTCGGGCGCCGAAAACAAGGAAGCAAACCACTGGCCCCATGTTTGCGTTTGTGCTGTCGTGCTGAAACTCTCGTCAGATACTCGAGAGGAACATTACGTGACTCGTAAGCGTACTTTCTCACGGTGGGTTGGGGCGCCACAGCTTGCTGTGCTACTGTTGCCGGCCTGCTTATCGGTGTTAGCTTTGGGAATCACGCCCACAATATATGGCCTTACCTAGGCATAGGATCAGGTTCTTCAACAGCAAGTCGCTGGGCAAGTTCCCGATCAGCATTGAACTCCGCAAGTTCTCGAGCATTCTGCATCAACAATGAGAAAGCAACTTCACGATCAGTGAGTGTCTCTCCTCGATGCATTCTGGTATCATATAAAGCCTGCAATCTCTCCACATCAGAAAGCTCCAGCTGGGCGATCATACGGGCAAGATCCTCCTCATAGTTGTCTCTATCTCTTGGATCAGGGACCGGACGTGGTCGTGAGGGACCAGCGATCTTCATGGTGGCAAGAGAGAAAGAGTCGAGCGCAAGCGTGAGAGCATACGACATTCAAACAACTTCTGGATGAGCGGTATCAACACGTGCCCTTTGTGGGCGTAACAAAGATTGGCGCTTATTTTCTAATGACCCACACGTCGTACAAGACTGCTGATCATCGGCGATGAGCTCCAGATAGCTAGAGTTCTATTTTACAGTAGTGTCCCCCAATAGCCCCTATTCCTACATCTGAATAGTCTGTGATTAGCTCAGACTGAATACGTCCTTCAGAATCTCGACAAGTTCTTCATCTTCAGCATCAGCGCTTGTGGGACTACGACAACCTTGCTCGGCTGCAAACCTCTGTGCATACTCACGAGCCTCATTTATCTTGAGGACGGTAGGCATGCCGAGCCGCTTGCCATCCTCAACGGAGCGACTCGGTTGTTTACACAGAAGTATGTAGGCGGGCAAGCAGAGCGATTTGTCGAGGTTGTACTTATCATATGTGACAATTCGCTCGACAGGTTTCATGTCGAGCTTTTGCAGCTGCCGGACTGCCAGGTCTCGCACGCCTGGAAATTTCCATCGTGTGGCCAGGTCAAGGATAGTGATCCAGTGGTCCATGGGTTGCTCATCGTACCTATATTGCCTTCGATTCCAAACTCTCAGTCTGCCGAAGAACATGTGTTAGGAAAGAGGACTCACGGGTTGTAGAATACCCACAGCAGTCGCTCAAACTCACTGATCTTGACATCATCAAGTCGAAACGCTGCCTTGTCGGACTGACCATCTCCCTGTGGCCCAGCCGTTCTGAATCCCTCTCGGAAATATTCGGACTCTCTTTCAAAAAAGTACTTGTGTACGCGAAATACGGTGCCCTCGACCTGATTGACGGCGGGTTTATCAGGACCATCACGATTAAACAAAAAGAAGACGTGCATGAAATGATACGCTACCGTCATGTAAGTAATATTGGGGATGGCGTGTTATTCGGGACATGCCCATATTTTTGATAGTCGAAACCGTTGGATAACGACGATGTGTCGGAAGTTCCCTCCGGATCCCACTTTTATTTGGTGCTGTGGCCACAGTATACCTTCCGTATCCCATTCACATATTGGGAACAAGGCTATGGCAAATGTAACCAAATGTGCAGCTTCCGACTAACCCCACAGAAGGCTGTTACTGAAGATCAAATGAGGATTCATTGAATCATTTGAAAAGATAGAAGTGCGGAGATAGGTCATGCACGAGGCATGGTGGGCTGTGTCTGATGGTAAAACCTGTGCAAGATGCTCACGGTCTCCGACCGGTGCTTGTATATGACTGTAGGAGACAGAAGCAGTATCAGGGTCCAACAAGGATCCACATTCGTCCTTGAAAGATAGTAACACTGGGTCATCACTGATCAATCTTCGACTTATGGACCGTCAGAGTCTGGAAAGCATACATACATCATTCACCTCCTCTAGCTATCTTGATAGTTTTTACTATGAATCGAGACATACATTTGGCATCGCAGCTGTTTTGAGACGAGTCGTACAAGACCAGAAAGTACTCCATTTACAGTGTGACCATCATGCCGTCGTTATAACGCGTGTTAGCTGGAATTATTTCCACTTTTGAGCAAGTTGATGGGGCAAGTGTGAAATTACTCTCGAGTAGAACGTCGGGTGGCTCCGGGAATCGCTGCCTGCCTGCGAAGAAAGACGCCCGCTGTTCTACTGCAATGTGGCCTTAGTCGTTATGTGAATCCGTTTTGGAATCTGATCCTAGTACCTACAATTTGAAATATCTAGTGAAACGTTACTACAGGATAATGCTGAGTCCTGACCGATGTTGCCCAGGCTCTCAATTGGATCAATATCATAGAAAGGCAGATGGGAAGTTACATTACTAGTAGAACGGAATGCAGGTGTGCTAACGTAGCTGCACGCTCGAGCCTTTGAGAATTTTGGGATGGTACGAGACTTTGAGGAAGCTGGTACCGGTAGAATCAAGGATGACGTGTTGAGTGCGGCGAATCATAAGCTTTCGATAACTATAAAGAGAAAGACACCTAGCCTACTATCAACCAAGAAATTAACACTCCGAAGAACTTGGGCAGCCTTCCAACTGTGCCACAGGGTGCTAAGTACTCACTTGACGCACACTGGCACAGTTGTAAGGGACGCGGCGTTGTCCAGCACACGGTGGGCCACTTTAGTAGGTTCGTGGTTGAAATTTAAATTTGAAATGTTGAACCCACGACTAACGATCGGCAAACAACCATCCACATCGATTAACATAACCTTCAAGTTGGCCCAGTACGGGCACGTCGACACAGAATTTAGGATCCTGAAACTCTATTATGGACGATGATAGTGCCGAGATCGAGCTCGTATGTTCTTCCTCCAGGCCCCATTCACGAAGTGCTGACCGTTCGATGTAGCTAGAGCAGAACCTCAACAAAACACACCAGATCTCACAGCGCATGACCAGTGCGTGATTTCCAGCCATGTCCAACTGTTCATAACATACTGTAACAGCCATCCTGACAAATTTCGACACTCGCCTCGTGAAACTTGAGAAGTCCATCCTACCACTATACAACTCTACACAGAAACTTAAGCAACGGGCTCATAGTTGGGTAGTCCAGATTGCACCATAAACAAGGACTCAACGGGTGATATACAGATATTGATCGCGCTCTGCTGAAGATCGACGAGGTTGCTAGTAGTCAAGATGGCATTGCCATAGAAGAAGGCCTGGTTTTACGGGGGTACGTTACCGTTCGATCAAAGCTTGGGACATGACTGAATCATGAACAGGCCGCAACTTGGTCAACTTGAAGCCTACATTGATATCCTTGAACGCCTTAATGCTGCCATTGCATTCAAGTCTTCTGATGCAGATTCAAGGGATATGGTACAATTCAGACTAATTCGTCGCTATTCTACATGCTCTCTAATCGTCTTTCCAAGGCGCGACTGATCGAGACCGGTGCCAAGAAGCTTACCCAGTTGTATACTAAGCTTGTCGCAGAAGGCTCCTCGGGATCTCCGCCAGTTTCAGGCCTTGCATTCATGCTCACCGAGTTTCCCCCTTCCTTGATGTCCTCCCTCACACCCCTTGTCGCCTTCCTCCGTACTCTGCCCCTTCCATCAACGCATCCCTCTCACCCCGCTGCTTCAGCTATCTTAAACACCCTCAAGGATGCACAGCGAGGGTATGCGGACATGCGTGGGAGTTGGAGTCGCAAAGCGCTCGAAATGCATTCACGACGAGTCGTGGACCGAGCCGAGACTCTAGATGGCGTGGCTGCTGGGAAGGAGTTTAGCATCTGGATAGACAATTTGCTCAAAGTCACTGAGGTGCTTTTTCTAGTCATCGTCCCCATTTTGCAAATTCTCAACTGAGCACGGATACACAGGCCGAATACACCCTCCTCGCCGAACTCGCCCCGCTGTCTAGCAACACCCTCATTGCATCAACTTATGATACCCTTCTTACCCCTCTCCTGACCCTCTTCACGGATACCTTGTCATCTCTGACATCCCTCATAAAGCGCTCGCTGCACAAATACACGTTCCATGCGCTTTCTGCGTTTTCTGCACTAACAATGTCTCAGGGTCGCTGGGAATCTGTGTTGGCAAGACGTGGACGGGAGGGAAATGAGTTACGGGACGGGCTCAATGCGATCCGTGGTGTATGCCTAAGGAGTTTCCCCGAATTCTTGGCTGATTTGAAGCTTGCCGCTACAGGCAAGGGCGGTGACCTGAGTGTCAGCTTAGCGGACATCACTATTTCGGTATGTTAAGACAGTCCTTTGCTTTGTATTCACCCGCACTGAACAAATACAGACCGTGCAGTATCTGAATCGCATACCTGATGTCCAGGATGCTGTCGGGTCTGCGTTGTCTGCGCTCGGGGATGGGAATTGGAAAATGGGTGACGGGAAGCAAGTAGGGAAAACTTCCAAGTCGAGCTCTGTAGAAGTAAACGAAAAAGTCCTGATTCAGCACTTTGTTTGTGGGTTGTATTTTCTTTCCTTTGTCCGAGTATAGCTCATTCAATCTGCAGACGACGTCATGAATACTCTCATCGGGAGCCTTACAACTCTTTCACGCACCCAACGCCGGCCTCCCTTCGGTTCAGTGTTCCTCATCAACAATGTCTCACATCTTGTGTCTCACCTCGTCTTACGCCCCACGAACCCCAACACACCTTCCCTACTGTCTAAGCCCACGACAGACTTCCTCACCTCGTCGTGGCGCACTGCAAAGGCAGGTTATTTTGATGCCAGCTTCTCACCCCTCATGCAGACGCTCGCCGACGACGCACGAGATAAGACAAGTGGCAGTGGTTGGAAAGCGGCAGCGAAGGAGAAGTTTACGCGCTTTTATGACTTGCTTGAAGAGGTTGGAGAACGACATCGGATAGCAAAAGTGTTGGACGAGGATCCGGAGGAGAGGAGCGCTGTTGGGGAGGAGGTAGTAAAGCTGGTTGTCCCATCGTTGCAGCGGTTCACGCAAAAGCAGAAGGAGAAAGAGTTCAGCAAGAGTGAGCTTCTTGCCCTTGTTATATACAATGAACTAACGCTTCACCAGATCCTCAAAAGTGTAAGTCATCCCGTATTTTTGCGCGAATCTGCTTCATTTGACAACGCGTCCCGCAGATATCAAGCTGTCTCCTGAGGAAGTGGAGTCCCGGATCAGAAATTTCTACAGCTAGTTCTCCATTTGCATTATAAGCGGACTTTGTTCTACCAGTTAAGGCTGACACATAACATAGTGCGAACTTTTTCACTACTCCAGTCTGTTCGTCACTCCAGATTGAACCTACGAACACTATTCCATCACCTATAACCAAACACTCTCCAGCATTTTCTCAAAGTCATTTGCACAAGAAACAGTCAAAATCTCTTCCGTGATCTGCCTCCTCCAGTGGTTACGCACGGTGTCCATGCCAGGGCGACGAAATCGCTTCAATAGGAAGCATATGTAACTTTCTCCCCGTTTCAATATTCCTTTGTCGGGGTCATCATGATCATGGTAGTTAATAATTCCGACCATCCATTCTGTCGTAGATGCCGGTGGGAAGAAGTGAGATTGTACGACCAGCTTCTTGAGCGGTGATACCCAGCGGCGACCTGCGGGCCGGGAAAGGAACGTCGACTGCCATTGGCTCTGGCTAACAGAGGCAGGAAGCATGAGCAGTCTGACATGCACGCCACGCTTTGTGATTGAGAAGTCGGAATCACCACAACCCTCTCCCCACCACGATATCTGGCGGTTCTTGAGCATATCCAGCGCCGTGGCGTTCGTCGTGCGGTAACAGCCAGGCTCCGTTGGACAACCAGGAAGCCCGCCAGCCCACACAAGAATCTGCCATTCCTTGCAGTTCTGAATTAGTTCTGCCATGAATCTTTTGAACGCTCGATCTCCTTCTCCATACGCGATCGTCATGCTGATGTCAAAGATACCAGTGAGGGAGTAGGCAACATCCTCGATGCGGGTTGTCTTCCTGCTCGCTGCCCAGGTCATCTTCTCCCAGGCACGGTTTGGCCCGGGGCTAAAGTTGCACAGGTCATTCAGAGGGATTTTGGTAACCCGGGAAAGAGCAGAGACGACCGCCGCGTCGTCCTTGTCGTTTTCATTATCCGTAAGGGGTGTCCACCTAGGACCGTAAAACTTCATCCTGAGGGGTGCAAGGAGCTCCTGCAGCGTCCAGCCACGAAGGAACCACTCGTCAATTCCTAGGGTCTCCAATGATTCTGATTGAGCCAGATGCACGATGCATATATAAGCACCGCGGGTACCATCTGTACATCGAACGTATGGCTTCATCGAGCTCCGAGCTGCTTTCCTTATTAATGCAGCATGTGTCAGACCATGCAAGACGGCAGCCATAGAGTTTCCTTCGCTTTTGTGCAAAACGAGCGCAACTTCTCGTAACCTGCCCCTTCGCGTTTTCCCGACTTCAAGTCTTGGAACGTTGGCTCCGATTTTCCCCATCTGTGTGATAGGATTGCATATTTCAGCATGTCGGGGATCAACCTCGACTCTATAGCGGACTTTCTCGACCATCCCTCATGCTTGGATATGTCCTCCTCCGTGATCTTCTCTGGTTCCAATATGGTAAGAAGTTCTTCCCGTGAGATCAATTTCATCTCTGGGATATAGATCAGATGGGATGGGACCTGATCAAAAACTCGTCGTTTGAACTCGATCATTACATCGGGAATACCATAGGGAGAACCATGCTGATATCCAAATCAGCTTGAACACGAACATAGATTCAATGAAAGAAGTAACCTCGGAGACCGTAACTTCCACGGTCTGTGGTATTCCGGGCATACAACGCAAGGATTCTTCATGCACAAAGGTTAGGATCTGATCTGCAGAAGGGCGATCTGCAGGCCGAAGTGAGAAGCATCGTCGGAGGAAAGATAGATCTTGAGCGCTGATTCCTTCTGGGAATACCGGGACTTGGTCGTCACGCAAACGGGCCTTCACAGTGTCATCTGGAGCTTTTTGCCAGGGCTCCTGCCCAGAAAGAACCTAAGAAAGCTGTTAAATACGGTGATGCCAACGCCGATGAAGGAGATTAGTACATGGATCATGTTGCAACCGAAAGACCACACATCGCTTTGGGACGTCGGAAGTCCGCTGGAACTGTCAACCATCAACTCGGGAGCTGTCCATGCAACATCACCCAGACGAGTCTCGTAAGATTCTGATTCCGCAATCTCATCGAGCATCGTGGAAAGCCCACTACCCTTTACAAAGGCACGGCCATTCGAGTCCACCAGGATGTTATGCTGACGTCGGCACATCGGAGATTAGTGCTTGCCTGCCTTAATTTTCGATGAGAACTTACACCGCTTAGATTTCCGTGAACTACTGCAAAAGAGTGCACTAGCAAAAAAGATCACTTGAGAATGCCTACTATCGTAAGCGAGCAGCAGACATACAATACTGCAGCGCTGAGGCAATATCTTGCAGCTAACCAAATTCAGTTTTAGATGGGGCGAAATCATAACCGAAAATCACCCACCAGGCGAAAACGTTCATGGCGCGTAAGGATGTTGTGAGATCTAACTAATAACTCAATGAGGCTTCCACTGTCGATCCAAGGTGACACAAGGCCAGGTAAAGGGCCATATCCGTGAACGAGCCCGAGTAAAGGCAAAATGTGTTCATTCTGAAGTCGCCCCCCAGACTTTGATTTCTCGTCTCAATTCCTCGCCTTTTTCACTGAGCGAGTCAGAATCATGCTGAACCTTGATGACCTGAACTGCAACCTGGTAGTGTTTAGAATTACCAACTGGTGTCAATTGTCAACTAGCAGGGACCTACTGGAGAAGATTCAGAAGGCGAGTTCCAGCTGCACTTGAAGATTTTCGCATAACCGCCCGCTGCAGCCGGTTTGTCTGAGTATTTGATTATCTGATCAGTGAGATCAGGGATGCAACTGATGCATAGATTCAGCAAGATGAAAGCCACATTCCCGAAGAAATACGCACATGGGACTTTCGAATACTGATGACATTACTTCTTGCGAGTTGGATGGAGGTGTGGACCAAGCGTCAAATATGTGTACCTTGATGCTGGGCAGACAATTATTTCCCATCACAGAAGCTTCGCGAATTACCGTCTGACTCTTGGCTTGGCCATGTCATTAGTGGGGGCTTATAATAACTGAACGATATTGACGAGCCACGCAACCGAACAATGGATTAAAACGATAGAAAGGCATCTAGATCATTTATTCTATACAACCCTGGGCTGTTCAGATTTGTCCACCGAAGGCGTAGAACGTATGATGGGGGAAAGAGACTAACCAACGTTTTTGTGCACCACCTGTCTTGCAGTGACTCTCATGACCATCGAGTAAGGTTATGGACTCGGACTGGTCGGTATATATATCGATTATTATTATGATAGATACCAGGGTCATGCCATTGTCCGAGTCGAGCGTGCAGAAATTCTGGAATCTGGAGCACCTCTAAGTGAATTTGAACGTCCAAGTCAGATGCCAAATGGCAACCAGAGAACATGATGCATTTAGTCACTAGTATGACTCGCCGAGTGCTATATGGATGTCGAGACGCGAGATCGCCGCACCATATGGTATAAGAGTCTTGGAACGATCGACATCATGATGATGTTCGCCCAGTACCATAGTGGGCGTGCACCACACTTTACATAATTCATAAGATTCCTTCCCGATGCAGCTAAGGTTGCGCCGTGCTGACTACTTTCGAGATAACACTGAACATGGGCTGTGCGTGCTGTGTAGTGGTGAATCTGTAACAAATATTATCCCCAGTGTATATATATTGCTTATTCTCGATATTTTTCAATTTAAATGAACCCAACTCTTGGTATTGATCTCGGGACGTCAAGTTGGTGCGGGCGTTGTTTAATCATAATGAGCGCTAGCGCTTGAGCCCCGCTTGGCGGGCCGTCCTTAAACTCACACTTATGCAAATTGCCTTTTTAGGACCACTCACAGCTGACATAATATTACCGTGCGGTTTCTGCGCAGCCTGCTCCTAGTACTTACAGTGTGTTGCATATGAGATTGCAGTGCGTGTTTTTCAAAACTCGGCCTCGCTACCTTTACCGGCACTTGTATACCTTAATTAGATGTCACATCTTGTAATACGCCGTGCGTCTGTGTGAGTGACTCAGTGCTTTGACCACCATCAGCATCGACCTGCGGTCCAACACACCACATGTGAGTCTTTGCACTTTCGCTACTTACGAACGACTTTGACCTGTTGTTTTTTGACTAGATGAATACTGTTAGTCGTTCTAACCTATCTGCCGCATTCTCGGCTCACGTACTGCAAGACATGAGATGCTCGTCTCGATTTGAAGAAAGCTGAGAAGAGGCAGCGCATTAATTGACTTAACTATAGATTGTTTTTCATTGATATTGACTATGCTCCGAGTCGTTCCTACATCATCACTCAATTTAGTTCGTGATGTGGTTGGATTCATACTACACTATATACTGGTACTACACATTGAAGGACTGCCCTCGAATGAAAGTTGATCTGCGAACACACGCGCGCCCGATATCTGCCTATCCCTGCATCCTCTGATTGGTCTTGTCATCAACACTGGACTCATCCAGCCAGACAAAGTATTCAGCCGGTATATCCCCATATGCGGCTTGCCAAGTTACCCGCAAGAGCTCATTCCTCTCCGCAGCCGTTTTGGAAATGTCTTTGTGGGTCATTCCCAGCCTTCGAGTAGCGCGTGAAAGGGTAGCGAGAGAAATGTCTTTGTTCCGAGCAGTGAGAAGTTGTTCTTATAGTTCATCCAAGTACGTGGCAGGGTTTGCCTGGAGTAGTGCATGGATGTATTCGGTGTCGACGGTGTCAAGAACGCGGGGACAACCCCTGCGGCGTGCAAAGGGGTTGGTGACTTGACCATAGTCTCGGTGCAAGCGAAGAATATTGTATACTGTCTTCTCTGAGCATTGAGCAAGCTGAGATATTTCAAGAGCTGTCCTGTGCTGTTCAAACCGCCAGAATACGATATTCTGGCGCATTTCCTGGCTAGTGAATGACCCTGGCATAACGAACTGACTGAGGTTTCGTTTCATCAAGCGGCAGTGGCTAGAGTGACATGTCACATCCCTTGACCTAGTTAAGGTATACAAGTGCCGGTAAAGGTAGCGAGGCCGAGTTTGAAAACACGCACTGCAATCTCATATGCAACACACTGTAGTTCGGGCGCAAGTTGAATCAGTTGACAGCCCTCTCATTTATCGAAGAAAAGTCGAAAAGGTACCCACGAAAACAAGATTCTTTGTCTCGAACGATGAGGCAAGCAGTCTTTTGCTGCAATATCTAACACGCTGATCACTCTCTGTTCGTCGCAGATTTTTGACGGAGTCCCTGATGACTTCCAAAACCTGACACTCCCTTTTAGATACGCTCTTGGCGGCCTAAACATTTCATTTTAATTTGTCCAAATAGACCTATGAGAGCGACATTAAATTTGTACACAGCTCTTGTCCTATCTTTGGTGGTTGTTCGACCTTCTGGTCTGCAAGCCCGACTGCTGCACTACTGCGCAACTGGTCTAACTCTCTTGTCGCCACCGCACATCCAAGGTTCTTGTGAGTAGAATTTTGCGGGTCACTAAGGCCACGGACATTGGTCCACCATATGGACTTGAAGCTTCAATGCCAGATCAACCGCGGTTGCAACTGACAGTCGCCGGGGGAGACATCTCGTTAACGCAAAACATCCTGCACTCATAGCAGTCTCGTCCATTGCGAAAACGACAATGGTTCATTTCATCTAATTCTCTACGCTCGGTCCGCTTCTCTCCCTGTACAAGAAGGAGCATAGGCATGTACAGGCTGGTACCGGCGCTCTACTTCTTTTTTCAATAGAGACTAATGTGCAATACCTCAGCATCGATGTCGGATTCCCGTCTCATCCTCCCAGTATAGATGATGGGGGGTCTGTTAAATTTCTCCGTATGTCTCGTGGGGATCCGCCGATAGCAAACAGGACGAAGATAATCCTTTGTGCTGGGGCATTTCTGAACGCGGCGCTCCTGCGAAACAACTTTTGGCACAATAAGTATACCACAGGGTTGGCAGGAAAACGGTGACGGGCCACCTTTTGACACATATCGCTCTGATGAGGAGAAGCGCTTCTGCAACTTAAGCAGGAGAGCATCGAGATCGGAGCGGAGTCCTTTGCTGGTCAACACTCAACCTCACATCTACAATATCACGCTCAGATTACCGCTGTCGCTTCGCCTGATCAAAAGCAGGATGCCGGCCATTTTTGCCCAGTATGGTATTCACGGTTTCTGCATGCTAATAACTCAGTTGCACATAGAATTTTGCTGGCATAGCCAGTGAAGAGTAACTTCGTGGATCGGAAGACTATGTCGTCTTTGGTGAGTATTTCATGTCCGTATGCCATCTATTTGCATTGAATCACCCCTCTAGTGTGCGCGACGCTTGGTGAACTCAGTGAGAACAACGGGGATTCTTTCTTACATTTGTCGAACCAGCCCTGAGTGGGAACCCAATATCCAACTGTGTCCTACAAGTCATGCTTGATGAGAAAGGCTTTGAGCCCTGGGAACAGATGGACGAAGTGATAGTTAAAGCCGTCAGGGCGATGACCGGTAATGAGAAACAGGTTTTCGTAAGATCTCGCAAGAAAGCTAACTGCTTGCAACGCAGCAGGGAAACCTAACAGGAAAACCATCATTGAGCAGCACTAGTTTTCGATTGACCATCCCCATAGTCAGTTTGTACACGATCGCAAGGCATTGGCATCGGACGTGGATCTCTCGGCTCAGCAACTCTTCAGCAGTAGATAGATCCCCAGTTATGCACGCATCGTGGGCTGTCGTGATAGCCAGGATCTGCAGTGTGCACGAAGGATGCTCTAATTACATTATGAGAGCTAAGGATGGAAACTCGCCTTTGAATTGATACTGAGATCTTTTTATCTTTGCCTCCGCTGAGGATGTACTTGGAGAAAGTGACTCTTCTCAAAGTGGATGGGAGGCGATGGCTTGTTGATCTGAGAGCCGCCAGAGACGGACATCGTTATCATCAGATGCCGAAGCGACGAGGGTGCCAGCGGGGATGGCAATGGCGCTGATAATGCTAGTGTGGCCTTGCCAGGGATGGTGACCGACCTGCTGCCGGATCAATGGATCCCACTTTCGTATGGTACGATTGCAATGATTGCCTCCTGACAGAAGGCGTGTGGCCATCGGGCGTCCACATGAGAGAGAAGTTGCAACCCCCTAAGTTTGTGGGTGGATCTATCATCGAGTCCGTGTGGAGTCACTGGAGTGAGGACATAATCTGTTTCAATAGTAGGCAGTAATTTTTCTTTTGGTACTGTGTGCACAAGAAGGCAGTCCTCCGACCGGGTTCGGTTTCATTACAGTCAGAAATCCCACCAATACTACCAGACGCTCTTACACCGTGACTAAAAACAGTTTGCGCCGGCCCCTCGATGAACGGCTGCAACCGTGACAGTATTCAGATGCTTGACCACTACCTTTGCGCATTTCAAACTTCAAAGGTTTCTCCAATTTCGTTTGACACCTGCGTACAATGTGCGTGATCTCACTGGCTGGTAATAGCAAAACTTAATTTCGCCACTCCCGGAGCTTCCTTTCAACCGATGGCGCGATCAATACTTGGGCGCTAAATATTCTTCTTACGCTCAAGGCCTTTCTGCAAGACTCCTCAGGTGCACGGCTTTGAGACTCGTAGCATGTGGATAGACAGTGTTCGACAGTTCATCCTCAATTATTCCTGGCTATCAACACCTATCATTGCGGCAATTGGATGGTTCCAGACCTGGATTATTGCCTCTCTTTTTCTTTCCATCGGAAAATCCAATGAGGTTGTTGAAGCCATTGAAGAGTCACGACTGCAGAGTTCTTTCGTGAGATATTATAATGAAGACAGGGAAGACCCAGGTGTCTCGGAAACGTCCACTTGTAATTATGTTGCAGAGCAAAGGTACACGGGTAAGTGGTTGCATTCATGACTCCCCGTTCGAGGCGTTGAGGACGCCCTACTATTGGACTCAGGTTTAGCAAAGCGCACGGTACTTGCTGCATGGCTTGCAGACACTTCCACCGCAACTCCCAAAAAGACCGTTGGCGTCATGTCGATGGACCCTGGGCTCAGCACACAGCTTCTTGACCTTTATCACTCCGTCTGCAATGCAGGCTACCTTGCATACGTGTCATTTGTCATTCAATTTGTCGGCTCTCTCTACGGTATCGTGACAGTCTCGATCATTTGGGCAGATGATGCGCATCTCATGCAACAACCTTATGGCATCCAACTGCAGCAACAACTCGCCGCGCTCACTATCAACCGCGGGATGTGGTCCATTGCGGCTCTTGGCACATTCTTTCCGTGGGCACCTCTTCACGCTCTCTATTTCACGACGGCTGTTGCTGTTGCACTAGAATTCCTCTTCGCTGCCAGGGGATTCGTCATTGGCTGGCACATGAGCCTGCTTCCTGGTATCCTCCAGTTCTTTGTTGTCTTTTCGTGGTTGCTTCCTAGCGCGGAGGCGTTAACGCTAATATTTGGTATGTTTTTGCGCTTTGAGTTTGTCAGTTCTGCATTCACACGTATCTCCCACAGGCCTGATCGCAATGAAGATGGAGGTTTCATTCATCTCCGCCAAAGTGATCATATTCGGGCTCCCGGCACTATGGTTAATAATCGGGCCGTTGCTCATCATCGGGGCATCGTTGGGATCGCACTTTGGCATGGTGAATTGTCTTGTTGTCAGTTCTAGCTTGTGCGCCACAACTTCAAGTTGAGCGAACAGACATGCAGTCAGGCGGATATTGGAAGGAGCAGGGTATTTTTCCGTTTCTTGTCCTGCTATACATCCTGGTATGATGTTCCTTACCAACTGCGCATATTTTTCTCACTTACATTGCGCAAGTTTTTTGCCATTAAAGCCCATGATATTTATGCGACACTTCTACTTTCAATCATCCCCGCACTCAGTTTGCGAGAGGTTACAACTACACCCTTTACATACATACAAGCAAGTCAACGAAACGAATAGAATGCATTGATATGATAAGCAAACTTCTCCTCTAGTTGGCTGTGTTGCATTACAGTCAGTATATACCAGTAGTCCATGTGGCACCGGTCTGTGGATAGCGACATCCGACCCTTGGAGATTCTTGCACGTCACATGTCGTGACCAAGGGTGAGTGCGCCATGAAGTCCTTTACTTTCTGTGATGCAAAACTCGCAAGACAGCCAACTCAAAGTCATGCTGGTTGCAGGCAATTGCTGACTCTGGTCGGTCGCGTGTTTCGCAATGGGCATATTTAGAGACTTCAATATGCTATATCATACTTGCGTTGCCCTGAACAATAACCATCAGTACAATTACCGATGATCAACTTTCGAAATTGATCGTCTGGTGCGACCAATCTAGCAGATCGCCCATCCACTTTAACGTACCTTCAACCACTCCTCTTGCTACAATGAGCGGACGAGACCAAGTACTACGGTGAACATGTTCACACAAACGGAACAATTAATACCCGAAAGTCTGTAGGATGCGTGGTTCTTTTCGAACCAGCCGCTGCATTGAGTGCGCATGCGAAGGTAGTTTGCCAGCCATATAAACTTGATTGCTATGTAGTAGATGGTACATTGAACTGAAGCTGGGGGAATAGGTAGCAGTACTACTCGGCGAAACTGTAGCAGTCCTTCTTCCCCCTACTTGTGGACAGGTAATCAGAGTGAGATAGGCTTAGCAGGTGGAGTCGAAGATGTCGACTAAACGATGCAAGGCTCATTGACAGCGGATTTGATAACAACCACGAGCTGTAATCCTGCGCAAGAAAATTAAAATATAGCATTTTAGAGCATGTAATCCCGACTCACTTTGTAGTAGTAGTCAAAGCGATACAGACTCGACCAATCGTGTCAAAGGTAGGCGTTCCTGAGAGGAATCAGCCGAGAATTTGAACTCGACGAAGTTTGCAGTCGGATGTTTACGCCACGGATTCTTGGACCAGTGGTAATTGATGCTCATGACAGGTACTGGCTCCACTGTTCGCATCAGTATGAAGGCGAGACAATTGCGAGGAAGCTCGGCATCTCCGGATGGGGTCTCCAGATAGTTCCATACCCCGAGAGCATAGTCCGAGACGATGCTGTCAACATCGGCGGTAGCATCCTGTACATGATCGCCGTATGACAGGAAATTTCCTGTCACATGGACGTCTGTTACGTGCACGCCGTCAATTTCGCTGTGAAAGCTGGCTTGACGAGAGGGTGTCGCGTGGTTTTCGGACGGCCCACTCAGCTCAGCGGGCAGGATCATTAGTTTGATGCGTAGCCCACTGTTCGTCAGCGAAAATGCTCTTCGAATCGGCGGGCAGTATGGCTGCCCGACATAGCATCTTGGCGAAAAAGGAAGAGCTCGGGAAGGATGATTCGTGATAGCAGGACGACCTGCCCAATTGAAAATCCGCAGGTCGTCCGACGTTTGAATGATAGCTTCGACGAGCCTGAAGAATGCTCGTTCGGACCCTTCTCCATAAGCAATGGGCAGGACGACGTGGAAAATTCCCATCAAGGAATACGCCATGTCCTCTCCTCTCGTGGTTTTTCTGTTCGCCGCCCATGTCATACGTTTAGCGACATCATGCGAGCCAGGGATGAAGTCGCCAAGCTCGCGGCTGGAGATAGACGTGATTCTTTCTATCATTTTGATGACGTGATAATCAGCCTTATCGTTATCTTGCATGGTCAACGGCAACCATCCAGCTCCAAAGAACTTCAATCGCTTTGGGGCTAGAAGCTCTTGTAGCGTCCAGCCTCTGGTGAACCATAAATCCTTCTCCAGATCAGCAACTCTGACGGTTTGGGCAAGGTATGCGATACAGATTGAGGAATTGCGGTACCACTTGAACATGGATCGGAGCGATTCGTCGAGCTCAGAGCTACTAGTTTTGTCGATGCAGCATGTATCTGACCAAGCAAAAATCATTCCATATCTCGACGCCGCAGCTGTGCAAAAACTCTCCATCTTTGCGAATCCAGGACCGCGGGGCTGAATGTCCCTCGTCATGTCTTGATAAGACACTTCTCCTTCGGCAAGCCACCTGTGGGAGAAAATCGCATATCGTACACGTTTCCGCACGACATTCGCGATCACATCTTCTCGAGAAAGATGGAGCTCTGCGCACTGCGCTTGGATGTCTTCTTCTGTCATGTCTCGTACAACAACGAGGAAGTGACGCAAGACAGCGCCGCGATCGACGAGCTTCATATCTGGGATATGGATCAAGTGAATGGGGGTTTCATCAAAGATGTATTGAGCGATTGCGTCTTCGACATCCCTAGGAGCCATGGTTCGTACTGCACGTCCAGTTTGGTGGTGAGTGAGCTGGTACCTAGGGTATTGGACCATCAATTTGACTTACATACGATAATAACTCAGGACACGAGGGCCAGAGTCCAGTAGGAGCCGGTTGCTGATCACTGTCAATGGTCTTTGGGAGGAGATGACGGGCTTATTACCACGCTACTTATAATGTACATAACTCCGTGCCTGGAGTCTGTTCACGGCTTCTGTCCGACTCTACTTAGCGCTCTTGAGCTTGATAATCGTGAAACTTCTTGGACCTTGGTGCATTGCAGAGTCACTTGTCAGACGATTCGGTCTGCGGCAATTACAAGTCTAATGCTGAACTGGGGTTGACTTGATAACTAGCAGGAAGCTTCAAGTTTGCTTGGTGATCAATACGAGCAAGACGGGAAGGGAAAGACGCCTAGAACCGGAATAAGTATGGGCCATCAATGAAATGTAAGTAAGACCTTGCCATTGCGAACAGTGGCAGTGTGATGACTATGATTCTCCCACCAGACCTGAAACACGCGTCTGCAATGAGGGAGTATGTCGTGCACCGTGAACATGAGTCAATGCTTAACTCATCGCCAAATTCATCTCTCATCGCCTTTGCAAGAACATGAGTACTGACTCGGGCGACTCCTCTGCAGCTCCAAGGGTTGTCCATGTAGTACATGTGACAAATCCAGAACGCGACAATCTTTTCCGTGCTACAGCAGTTTCAAGCGAATTCCTCAAAGCGAACCAGAAGTATTTTGGCGTACAATGTACGCAGTGTCAAACGAGATTGGAGAAACTTTTGAAATGCGCAAAGGTGATACATTATTCATACTGTTGCAGGCGTTCATTGAATGTCGCAAATCGCCTTATAGTGTAAGAGTGTCTGGTATTGCTCGAAAGAGGTAGGACTTGTGGATGAAGGAAAATATGAAGGGCTGACGTAGCGTGTAGTGCCAAAAGAAAAATTGGTGAGAGCGCTGCCCGATTAATACAGACCCATGGATCCTTGAACTGGACCCGCCCGCCATGATAGGCCAAAGCACAAACCAACATGCCATGAAGATGAACGCTCCTCCGGGCTAATAAAACTCGTACAAATGATCACAATAAATCCAGTGATCATTGGGTACCTCAAAATTGGTATCATCTTCGTCTGCGGCCTGCTCGATAATCCCCGAATCGGATTCGACACGCCGTTCTTGGCGCGTGTTGAAATCGCTATTGAGCCAAGTGACGTTCTTGACTTTGTTGGATTGTATCTCAACGACAAAGCTGTCGGGGAGAAGCTTCAAGGAATGGTGCAATTCAATGCAATCACTCCATGGAAGAGCCCAAGCATGCAAGCTCCCCTTACACCGAAGCGACTAAACTTATGGCGTGAGGCTCGAGCAAGGTGTAACGCAGAGGGTTTCACCAAGGATTCTGTTGGACTCATAGAGTTTGTTGGATGTAGGTCTGCATGCGACACAGGGAACTCAATGACCACTGAGTTGCACATCCCTGCTATTGCCCTTGCCATGGCGAGGAGACGCGAGCCTTTCGTAGGCATTTCTGCTGTTACGGGCAATCAAATCAAGAAACCCATGGGCGCTGCGGCATGTTTAGAGTAGGTTCTCTGTTTTTATTCTCTAAGCAATGGAGCCGCTTACAATCACTTTGCATAGGTTTGTCAACTTGCATATTCGTGCGGATAAGCAGAATCAGTTGCATTTACGGACCGAGATGACGGAGCAAGACAAGGAAGTTATTCGCGCTGCGGGTCGCAACGAGGATGCACTTCCCGCTCGTATTCTCAAAGAGAAGATGCGAAGAGAACATCTGTATGCTAATTTTGTGTAAATGTGAGTGTGTACATTTCCGGCGATTTCTCTCTTGCTAAAATTTGCACCAAGTGAAGGGAAATACTGATACGAGTCATCAGTGGGCCTTCTCTCCTCCACCTGTGATTTTCAAGTTACCCTTGGACTATACTTCATCTTATCGACGGGGCCTTACTACTCCGAGTCTGGTTGAATTTTCCGAATGTTTCGTATCTTGTATCTCTCTGATCGAAGTCTTGTGTATGATGCTCTTCTTTATCACATCGACGCGGCCTTACTCAGGTTAAATATGGAAGTCGTCTGAACTTGCTGTGAACTGCGGCATACATGACCTGAGAAAATAAGTACGTTCGTAATCAGTCCTTCGTGACCCTTAGCGCTCAACTCGCCACCAAACCATCTCCCACCGCCTTCGCGAGAACATGAGCACCGACTCTGGCACGTCCTCTGCAGCTCCCAGGGGCAGTGTCAGTATGGTTCATGTAATATGTCCAGAGCGGGACAATCTTTTTCGTGCTACAGCAGTTTCTAGTGAATTCCTCAAAACGAACCAGAAGAATTTCGGCGTACAGTGTACACAATGTCAGATGAAAACGGAGAAAACCTTTGAAACAGTGCGCAAAGGTGATGATCAATGATCTGGTTCATGCTGTTGCAGGCATTCATCGAATGCCGTAAACTGACTTTAGTGTAAAAGCGTCTGGTATTGCTCGAAGGAGGTAAGACTCGTAACCAGGACATAATAGAAATATGAAGAGCTGACATCGCGTGTCTTCTTGTGTAGTGCCAAAAGAAAAATTGGTGAGAGTGCTGCTTGTGATTGACACAGACTGGGACCTCACTCCACGTTGGACTCGATGATAGGTCCACCCACAAACCCTCATGCCACGCAAATGAATGCTCCTCTGGGCTCTTCAAACTTATACGAATGTTCACCATAAATCCATTGCTCATGGGCTATCTCAAGATTGGCATCATCTTCGAGTGTGGCCTACTTGACAATCCCCGAATCGGATTCGACGCGCCGTTCTTAGCGCGCGTTGAGATCGCCATTGAGCCGAGTGATATTCTCAATTTTGGCGGATTATATGTCAATGACCCGACTGTTGAGGAGAAGCTTCAAGGGATGTTGCAAGTCAATGCTATCACTCTGTGGCAAAGCAGCATGCAAGCTCCGCTTACACCGCAGCAACTCAACACATGGCGTGAAGCTCGAGCAAGGTGTAATGCAGAGGGTTTTGCCAGAGATCCTGTTGGACTCATAGAGTTCGTTGGTCGTAAGTGTAATTAAGACGCAGGGAACTCGATATTCATTGGGTTGCACATCCCCAAAACGGCCCTTGCCATCGCGAGGACACGTGAACCCTTCACACTTGGCTCTGCTACCGCTGGCGTACAGATCAAGAAACCCATGAGCGCTGCGTCGTGCCTAGAGTCAGTGTTCCTTATGATATTGCAATACAGTCCTCACGATTACCGTGCACAGGTTTATCAACATGCACATTCGGGCAGATACGCACAATCAGTTGTTTTTACGGACTGAGATGACGGAGCAAGACAAGGAAATTATTCGTGCTGCAGGTCGAAACGAAGACATATTTCCCGCTCGTATTCTCAAAGAGAAGATACAAAGAGAACAGCTTTATGGTAATATGATGCAATTGATAGGATCAGTAGTTACCTGTGAGTGTCTACATTTTCGATCATTTTCCGCAAGTCTTTCTGAATTTGCACGAAGAGGAAGACTGGCGCGAGTCACCATGCAAGTCAGCCCTGTACTATCATGCTTAGTATCACACCGATACCTTGCTCAGATTGGATCTGCTTGAAATATCATATGTGACATGTTTTGATTTGGCCGCGCAATTAATCCATAAATCGCCAGAGTCCTCTGGTATTACTGCTCCTGTGATACGACGATTGGATGAACAATAAGGATCAGATTAATGAGGCAGACACTTCAGTTTGTTAGTGGTACGTGATAGGATCGCTCCAGGGACACCATCGACGGTGTCACAACGGTGACCATAAGAGGAGCAACATAAGGGGGTCCTACTTATAGTCACAAGCGTCACCACGTGCAACAGCTCCATCAAGGTTGTTGTGTTCATTTGGCTTGTCGATCTCGGCGTTCTAAATGACCTTCTCGGCGAGCTCGACTTTGTACTGCAGCTGCGGAACAGGCACAAAGACACGATATTTATTTTTGGAGACTCGTCGTTCGATGCAAACGCGGGGTGTATCTGCAATTAATGATATAATGGATACAAACATGGCTAGTGTTGCAAAACTTTGATGCCCCAAAATTCACATGAACTAGCCACGTCTGTCTACCGATGCGCCTAGCTAGCCATTATACCCAGGCGGTTCAACAGGTGATTGATCGTGGCATGAAGGATGGAAATAGGACAAACTGCTCGGTCAACTCCCTGATCACAACCCAAATGCGACAGATGCAGTCACCTCGAGAGAACCAACCCACAGCTTCACGGATCTCCGCACCTCGTGAGACAGTCGGACCCACAGCCACAGAACACGACTGTGCAGTGTGTAATCTAATACATGCGAGATTTCAAGTGGAGCTGATATTCTGTGTTGCGGCGGAATAACCTAGAGGGTGGATATTGTAAGAGTTGGATATGGGTTGGTGTGAAGAAAGGTTCCATGGGGGACATGGACACTTTGTAGGGTCCAAATTTAATACGGCTGAGTAGATCATTTTAGTGTATTCATAAATTAAAATAACTTGAGGTACGCGAGATTCGCTGAGCAGTCGCTCGTACGATCCAACGCCTTTATGTCTTGAGAGACAATAAAAGTTGATGGATATAGATGGTGTACAAGCCATTCGCCAATATACACCATATATCCTTCAATTTCTTTTGAATGGAAATGCCGCGATTAGAGCTGTGCACGGTAAGCGCAGCAGGACACTAATTAGCCGGTGTCGCGGATGGAAAGACGTGGAATTACGACGACTTCGGATTGAGTCATACGCGTTGTACATTGCCGAATCGGCATCGGGTAATTCCGTGGGGTACTAGCAACACGCCTCCTCAAGGGAGATAACACTAGCACTTGACCACAACCACCAACATGTTGACTGATTCGATAACAACAACACCGTCATTCTCATTCGACCCAACAGTAGATGACTTTTTCAACCTCGACGTGCTGAACTCAGCCCCTTCAGCTTTCACCACAGCTTCATCGTCATCTTCATCCCCACGAAGCCCTTTCACTTTCACATCTCCAAATGGCGCAGACGATGATTTCTTCGCCCAATTCTTAGACACTGACGAGTTGACAAAGGGTCCATCCCTACCATCACTCTCAGTCCCTTCGTATGACTTTTTTGGCGCAACTCAAGGTGGCGCCAGCGCAAGTGGCTCAAGTCCTGAGAGCATCGATCCAAGCACTCCCATGTTCGCAATAGATCCACAACTAGTCGGAACTCCTGCTACTTCAAATGACCATTCAGACCAAGATTCTAACTCTGACCTGGAACTAGAGCCAGAACCAGAGTTCGCACCACCTAAACGTTCTCGTCGCGGTGCCGTCGCTTCTGGTGGCGTTAAGAAGTCATATGCTCCTTCTGAGAAGGACTTGAACTCGGGCGCGGGAAAATCAAAGCCCTCAAAGGACCCTTCCCCGCTCAGGATCCTCGAACCCGAGGACTGGCGCCCAAGTCCCGAAGAATACAAGAAGATGAGCAGCAGAGAGAAACGCCAGCTCAGAAACAAGATCAGCGCACGAAACTTCAGAGTAAGGCGAAAAGGTCAGTATCCCCTCTACCTCCCTTTCCTTTGTCACTTACCCCTCCAATTAGAATACATCACAACGCTCGAAGGCGACATCGCAGAACGCGACCGCCTAATCGACGCAATTCGCTCAGAACTCGGCAGTTCCCGCTCAGAAAACACTGCCCTCCGTCAAGAAATTTCAGCCCTCAAGCGTTGCCTCCTCGATTCCCGCCATTCCCCCGACCTCCCACCCCCAGCAGAACTCCAAACAGGCGCGCCCCTCTCTCCACCTGGTTCACCCGCGCCTACGCATGTATCCGTCCCATCAACAACCCCACTCATCACCCCAAACACCCAAAAAGACCTCCCTACATCTCCACGTCTGGGCGCACGCCCATTTTGGGGTGGATTTGGCGGTATGGGTGTTACACCTGTACATACGACGCTCATCCCACCCGTCGGCGTCAAAGGCGTTCTCCAAGAGAACATCAATCCTGCCTTACACCACCCAGGGTCAATCGTCGAGAAAACGAACAGCCAACTCAATGGCCTCGGTATAGGTATGGGATTGGGCATGGGAGTAGGCGCATTCGATGCCTTTGCGGATACAAATCCGTTCACGCTCAAGACCCTCGATGCGTATCGGATGCAATTGTGGGGTAAGATGGCTGCGCAGCATGCTCATACAAATACACATGGGATGGGGTATACACCGCACGGGTTGGCATCGGGCCTCAAACCTGCGTATTTCGCATCACCACCTTCGAAATCGCAAGGCCTCGGTGGGAAGAACGCGTATCCTTCGCCTCCCCCGTCCCCTGGCCTCAAATCAACGCCGGTACCTACGAGGGAACAGGCTGCACTTGCTGCTATTGCGTCGCAAACGTTGCTTGGGAAGCTTGGGAGTGCATTTTGGGAGGCGTTTTCTGGGTCTGGGTCTGGTGCAGGTTCCGGTGTAGGTGGAAGTGGAAGTGTGATGAGAAAGGAATGGGACGCAGAAAAAGTGCGCAAGGTCCTCGAAGGCCGGGCGGTCGTCCGAATTGTCGATCTCGATGAGCCCGTTCCCAACAAACCCTCTTCCTCTTCTTTGGTGGAGAAGAAGCCTTCGTTATCTGTGGGTATGGCTATGAGCGCGGAGATGCAGTCGTGCAAGGCGAATATGTGCGATATTTTGGAGGAAAGTATGAGGAGCTTGACGATTTCGAAGAAGTAGAAGCAGGCGGGTCTGGCTTCTGTCTTCGCCCTCCATGTCCTCTCCTGATTCCTTTCATCGTCCGCCCCGCTTTACTCCCAGCCAATGGTTTTCTTCCCCCTCCTTTTCGTTGAACTCGCAATAACAGCATCGCATCCGAATACTTTCCTCGTTCATCGTAATCTAGTCCAACCCCCGCTCCGCCTCCGATCTTCCGTTCTGCGCCTTCTGTGATCTGATCATTTGATGATTTTCCTACCTCTGATCAAATTCCGTTTCAACGGCTATTTCCGAACGTTCCAAGATTCTCCAAACAAGTATTTCGTCCTAACGAATTGGATTGTTTGTCTTTCCCTATGTCTGTTTCATATATTTGCTGTGCGTGGGTGCTCGTTAGATCACGGTCCTTATCTCCCCCTTTTCTTATCTCCGTTTTGCGCTCTCCCCATTCTCTAATTGGCCTCACTAAGCCTCGCAGGAGCGCAGGCTGTGGGGATCACTCCCGATCGTATCGTGCATCGCGCCGCCGCCTCTACATACTTACTCCGTCCAAATAGTAGTCTTATATAGCTTTTTTGTTGTTCTTTTTTGTACGTGTGAGATGTGAGAATGGAATTTGAATATTATTATATTAGGCTTGTAAAAAATTGGCGCGTTGGATCTCCCTACAATATTCAATTTTTGATGCAGCGGGTTTCGGGCGCAGCCGGCGTGGTACGTTTCGTCCACGCCCCATCATGATGATGTTCGATCATTTGCTCGATGGTAGTCTCAACGTTTGGAAGGTTTGTGAAAGCTGACGGAGCCGAGTTTTATACGTTGAGGTCGAAACAGTCGTCTGCTTACTGTTAGGTCATACGATCACGACGAGTGTCACCTACGTCGTCGTTTTCATATGACCTAACAGTAGCTAACAGTACAAGTTGACATATCGAATCAGCGTAAGCTGACTAAATTCGAACACGTCAACATCTTTCCATCCGCGACATGGTCCATGTGCTGCTGCGCTCAACTGCACGATCATGCACAGCCCAGCACCCACAATCGCAGCATTTCCCTTCAGAAGGATATATGATAATTGGTATGTGGCCGACCCGACTCGTATACCGTTTCTATCCATCTCAAAACTTGCTTGAAACTGATCATCGTCTCTCAAAGGTACATGATATCCCCAATTGCAATGGGGCCTTTCTCCGTATCATACAACATCCACGCTCTTGGTTATCCCGCCGTCACCGCATCACAAACGACGTAGAATACCAGCTCTACTTGAAATCACGCATGTAACGGATTACACGGTCTTGTTCTGTAAGTGCGGAGATATGTCGCCTCCATCATGATGAAGCTGTAGGTACTCTCGAGACGACTCATCTGCCATCTAGGTCGCGATCGAGGAGTCGACCGAGTAGGTTGGCTTACGTTCCATCCACGACAAATCCCCTGTTGAACCTCCTGGGCATCGGTAGATGGACGTGGCTAGTCCTGCAAAAAATTAAACATCCAATTTTTGCAAAACTAGCCATGTTTGTATCCCGGATATCGTTGATCGCAGATTCCCCTCCGTTTGTAGCGAACGACGCGCCACCCTCCGCTCAAGAGTATAAAAATAAATATCGTATCTTTTTGCTTGTCCCACAGCTGCAGCACAAAGTCGAGCTCGCCGAGAAGGCCCTTTAAAATGCCAAGATCGACAAGCTAAATGAACACAACAACCCTGACGCAGCTGTCGTACATTGTGACGCTTCTGAAATTCGCAAGACCCCTTTCCCGATGTCGCTCCTCCTGTGGTCGGTATCGAGACCGTTGTGGTGCCATCAATAGTGTCGCTGGAGCAATCCTGACACGTACCACGAAAAAATTACAGTTCGACGGAGTGTCTACCTTGTACATTGGCATCAATTTGAAGAGCCACCTTTAAGCCGTCAAAGTTTTCTAGATGTCTCCGTCCAGAATTGATCTATCGTTTCCAGAGAATGCAGACGTGGTGAGTTGTAGTGTTGAGATGGTTTAGCTTGCGAACTGATCTTGTGGGAGTGTCGTTAAATTGACACAAAGTAAGACTCGACGAGGTGGAAGGGCGCTTGTAATATGATCCAGGAAAGAGTACTTGGGATGCGGAGAGACTGGTGCAGCGCGCGCAAGGCCAGTATAATGGTAATTATATTGCCTGAAGCCCGGCATATACTAGTACAGCACACAATTTTCATACTACATATGGAAGTGACTCGTTCTAACAGTGCGAATCTCTACAACCCATCCACCACTGCGGTCCATGCCCAATCAACTTTGTCATGTAGTCCATCTGTCCTTGAACAGGACGCTCCTCAAAGGAGTCTTCTTCATCCGAGCACACAGCGAGCACATGAATTGTGTCAATTTTGATCGCCAAAAGTTCTTCCTCGGAGAGTATGTCGTCGTAGTCACCATCATACACAGCGATCCACTCTGGAGGCACCAAGCCGCCCTTGGGATTGAAGCATAATTTTCGGTCCAAAGTGTTGATAGTGGTTAAATCTGCGATGAGTTCGTACGCGCGGATCGCGGCCATGCACTTGTAGCCTATGTCATCGCGATCGGGCAACTCTTCTGGGCAATTTTGCTCCGCAAACTGGATAAGCCATTCCCAAGAGACTCCATATCCGTAGAACTGCAGATGAGGTTGCCTTTTCGGACGGATGAGTTTAAAGGGTCGATATTTTGTAGAATCCCTGTTTTGCTGTGACGTTGTGATCTTATGACCGTTAGAGAGAAATAAATGATGAGACTCGAAGAAGAGATCTACCTTAAGTGCGTCAAACGATTTCGATAGAAGAGAAGACATGTCTTGGATAAAGAGGCAAGGTCAACTACGTCTGCCTAGTGAGTGGTTTCAAAGAATTGGGCTGTTGAAGGTTGGCTTAAAGAGGTCAGTCCAGAGTGAGTACTAGTGAGTTTTTATGTCTGTGTAACTGGAGAACAATATTGCGATTAGCTAAGTGTGGTTGATATCACACAGCCACAAAATAAGTTCAGTGGTGCAGTCACTGACTCACTAGTATCTCTTCTAGTTAGTGGATCAATAGAAGGAAGACAGATTTTCTTCGAGGCCTTTGTCCAGCGTGCTGACCCACAATTGAATTTTCAAACAGCGGAACCACAGCGGGACTTCTAGGGGACTCTTCTGAGTCATGTGCCATGTCCACCGAAACACAATCAGTTGTGCACTGCAAATGTCGAGCAAAATAGATGGACAATGCACGATCCGTGGATCCACAGTGTCTAGCCATATAGAACGCCCGGGATATAAAGGCTCGACCCCATTGTGAGGAAAGGAGACATAACTCAGCCCTTCTTTCACAAGAAGACTTAACAAGAAATGTCGTTTACCTTTCCAGCTGGTGGACATTATTCCCCGCGCACTCCAGATGCTGCGTCGTCCCGAGTTATTGCAAACGCACACTTGCGCACTCCTAATGCCGCATCACACCTCCCGACCAATCAGGCACCTCTGCGCACTCCAGGTGCTCCTTTGTACCAAGCTGCTGATCGAGCAGCTCTCCACCCCCGTGCTCCACTCCTAGTAGCTCCCTCATCGATGGATCCAAATCAAGTCATACCATTTCGTCGCCCTTCGTTTTCCTCGGTTACCCAACCTGTAATCCACTCCCCTAGTGCTTACAAATCTAGGACAGTTTCGTCTACGACCCGAGTGCAGCATCAAGTTATCAGTGCTGCTCCAGCGCCTGTCCTACCTCCTCGTGTCCATGAGTTTGGCATAGCGCCGTCCAGGAGCCGCACGGTTTCTTCTGGGCCATGCACGAGGCTATCGGCCAGTGCTGACTTGGTCCCTTCATTTCCCATGATGACCGGACGTCAAAACGATCCCGCGCTCGCAAATGGTAGCCGTCGTGCAGCATCACGCCACGCTACTGGAAGTAAAACACTTCACAAAATTGTTCATGAGTCGCCTTCCGTTCTACAGCAGCACCCGATGTTGAAGGACGTCACATTAATCAATGCAGTGACGGTTGCAGCACGAAGTGACACGGAATTTCGGTGGTACCCGGTTTGGGTCATCGCGATTAGGGACTGGATGTTTCACAATGTGAGCACGGACACAGTAGCGTGCAACCTGGCACCGCAATATGCCCTGGAGTACACTCCTAAACCCCCCGCGCCGTCCCCCGGGTCGACTCCTGGGTCATTGGCAAATCCAAAAAAATCGTGGGTCATTCCCGACTTTGCTCAGGTCCTGCAGTACGTGCAGACGACAAGCAACGGTTCCCGCCTCCGCGACATTCAAAAAGTGATTCTGTTGGTGGAGAATAAACCAAAAGTAAAAGGACGGGACGCTCTCTTCCCAGAGCAGTCGCCTCTTGAAGAGTCCATGCTTCAAATTCGCAAGCAAGCGGTTTATGCCTTTCTGGCCGACCCTAGCCTTCAAGTGATCGGTACCATCCTCGCTTTGGGGTCGCTTTGGAGATATGTCGAGATAAATCGACCACGGGATGCTGTTCTGATTACATGGATCGATCATCAAGACAGGCCGTACGGTCAACGCAAGAAAGCGATAGCATACGCCGTACCAGAGGAGTTGCGGCGGTTAAGCGGCAAGCCCGACTACTCTTTTGAGTTACTAGACGAAACAGGACGATCAGCACGAGCTTTTGAGATCATAGCACGACGCATTAAGACACGGGAGAGCAAAATGTGGGATTTATAGTTTCTAGATAAGTATATTACTGCCTGTACAGATATTTTGATGTTTCACTTGGGCGAGATGCATGCAATACGCACTTCACCTTTAATCGAGGCGCACAGTGAGGAGGGTTTAGAGTTAAGTAACTCGAATTATAATCAATATTCATGATTCCACTATGTCAGGACCGAGTACATGTTTGCGAATGTGTGCGATATTTTAGAGGAGAGTATGAGGAGCTTGACGATCTCGAAGAAGTAGAAGCAGGCGGGTCTGGCTTCTGTCTTCATCCTCCATGTCCTCTCTCCTGAAGCTGACGTTATGTGCATCTAGGTGTTTAGTGCAGGCAGGACTATTCATGTCCAAGCTGGCAGGTATTCTAGAGTGATAACACAAGAACAAGATAAGGCCGGAGGTCGGCCTACGTTTACTCTACTGCTGCATACTATACCGCGGGCTTAGACTATCTGGTTGTCCTGTAAACAGGGTGTGGTATGAAAAACAATTCAAGAATCAGGGAGATCCAGATAGTAAGTAAAATTCGTTCCTGATATCTCCCTCAACTTCCTCCGCTGATGGACGGTCCTGAGGAAGAGTAGACCAACACCGATCGATAAATTGCCAATATTTGTCAAGGATGACAGGATAAAGAGTTCGGTCAGGTTTTTCCGAGTTCGCTATGCATATGATGATAGCAGGTTGGTGTGTGAGGTAATAATAGGGAATTTTGTTGGTGAGGACCTAAAACAGTGTCAATGATATTATTGAGAGGAATTACCCCAGACATACCTGTAACATGATACCGCCGAACGAATAGATGTCACTCTGCTCGCTTGGCCGCACTTGACATCCATCCTTTTGCTCCTGAAGCAGCTCAGGAGCCATCCATGGCAAGTTTCCTTGGATTGGAGTCGATGTCCAGGAAGCCTTAGAGGCACCGATAACTTCGGAATACATCAAGGAAAGACCGAAGTCGGCAATGCAAGCGGTACCATCACCATGGATGAGGATGTTAAGCTAGAGATATCATCTTGATCAAATTGAAATTATCGACGACAGTCAAACTTACCCCGTTGAAGTCACCATGGATAACATGGTTGACATGAACTACAAGAAATAATTATGATTCTAGATCCAGCATTAGAATTAACTAGTACATACGATATTGCAGCCCAGCTATGACATCTCTGAGCTAAGATTGCCATTAGTCTGTTGTCTACGAGAAATAAAAGGGAGGACTTACAATCTGGAATCGTTGAACGACAGTAAGAGTTTCACCCTTACGCCCCAAATAGGCTGTCAGGTCTCCATTCTCCGCCCAATGACTGACTATCGCTATGAATGGGCTGAAGCCATACGTATAGCCATACACCGGCAGAATATTTGCATGCTTGAGGCTGGCACATATTCCTAGTTCACGCCGGATCCTCTACGGACTCTCTGGCGTCGGTAATAGATGCAATCCTTCGTTAAGCCACTCACCTCGTTCTTTTTCTCCTTTCCTTGATCAGCAGCATACACCCTCAATGATTTCACTGCCACCTGCTCAATTTTCTACTTTAGACGGAATGGACAGAAAACATCGCAAACTTACTTTGACCGATATTCCATCCTTCTTATGTGTACATTTCCATATTTCACCGAATCCGCCACCAGCAGCAGGGTACTCTTGGTCCTTTGTGATATATCTCGTGAGGTCATGTAGCACGGCGAGGCTTGGATTTTGAAGGGGTCTGGACAGCGAGTGAAATTCGTTCCTGATTGTTCCGTCAACATTTTCCGTCGATGGACGGTCCCGGGGTTCAGTAGACCAACACTGCTGTATCAAAGACCAATACTTGTCGGGGAGCGCAGGATAACGAGATCGGGAAGGCATTTGGGATCTGGCTATGCTTAGGATGACGGCGGCGTCATTCAAGAGGTAATAATAGGGAGTTTTGTTGGTGAGGATCTAAATGCGGAGCTAATGATATCGTCAAGAAGTTGAAATTTACTAGACGTACCTGTAACATGATTCCGCCCGAATGAATAGATATCGCTCTGCTCGCTAGGACGAGTTGGAAATCCATCTTCCCGTTCTACAAGCAGCTCAGGTGCCATCCATCGCACGTTTCCTTTGAGCGTGGAAGTCCAGGAAGACTGAGAGACACTTATAACCTCGGAATACATCAAGGAAAGGCCGAAATCGGCAATGCAAGCAGTGCCGTCGCCATGGATGAGGACATTAGGCTAGAACCCACATCTTGATCAGATTGAAGCTATCGAGAACGGTCAAACTTACCCCAATGAGGTCTCCATGGATGATTGAGTTGGCATGAGCTGTAAGGAATAGCTAGAACTCCACATCCGGTATCGACAATGATTTGCACGTACGATATTGCAGACCAGCTATGATATCCTTGAGCTGAGATTGCCGTCAGTTTGTGGTCTGCATGAAATACAAGGGGGGACTTACGATCCGGAATCTTCTAACGAGAGTAAGAGCCGCGCCCTCAAGCTTCAGATAGGTTGTCAGGTTACCATTATCCGCCCAAGGACTAACTATTGCCATAAGTGGGCCGAAGCCATACGCATAACCACAAACGGGTAGGATATTTGCATGACTGAGGCTGGCGCATAATCTAAGTTCGCGCTTGATCCTCTACGAGGTGGCGACCTCTGCAGTAAGCAATGGATTCCGACGCTCGTCGAAACACTCACCTTGATCTTTTTCGTGTTTGTTGTCTCATCAGCATAAACCTGCAATGTTTTCACTGCGACCTGTACAATTATTAATTTAAGACCGACGGACAAACAACGCTGCAAACAAACTTTGGTAGACCTCCTATTGATGAGGTAAGTACATTTCCAGACCTCCCCGAACCCGCCACGAGCAACAGGATAGTCTCCGTTCTTTGTAATATACTTTGAGAGGTCTTGGAGCATCGCCTCAGGGGGGAAATTAGATTCATGTGCATTGATCTGCCAGAGAATATTGATACAAGCGCAGGAAGGATAGATATATGTGCGTACTTTAGGTTGTGCAGGCCACATGCTAGTAAGGATGTTCAGTGGAGTGTCGCAAATATGGATCTTGGTATCATCATAGGTCGTGTAAGCCAGCTGGCATGAGTCGGGTGAGAGAATAAGATAACGGAGTCTTTGAACGCTAAACGAAGCAAGGAGCTGGCGAGACTCGAAGGCCCATAACTTGATGGTCTGGTCGCCAGAAGCGCTAGCGAGGAGAACACAGTCAAAAGAGAGAGCTAGACCAGAGATGGTGTCGGTGTGGCCTTCGAAAGGCGCTCCGGTAGTCCGCAACGTCGACGTGTCGAACTCGTAGATCGACACAGCCTTCTCATCCGTGAAGCTAAAGGCGGCGACAATAGATTTGCCTTTCATCGTCCAGAACAACCGACGCATCTGGGGGGCGACTGCGATCATACTTCCCTATTCTGACATCCAATTTCTGCGCTTGAACGTCCCACACCTCAAGGCACCTCGCCGCACATGACTTGACTGCGAGCTTCTTCGAGTCTAGTGAGAATCGAATCGCGCCCACCTTGTCAGCACTCTTGAATGGGCCATCTATGAGTTCGCCAGTATTCAAGTTCCATATCCGCGTTGTACGATCTTCTGCCTCGCTCGCCAGCAACATGCTGTCCGCCGAGATATCGATGCAGTTGATCCGGTCTGAGTGACCTTGAAATGTTTTTACAATCCCCGTCTTAATGTTACGGGCTTTGAGCTCCCCGCAATCATTGGAATCTCCACCAGCAGTGATAATCCATCGATCATCCCTTGATACCGCTACCGCATCTACTTCCTGCTCCCAAACATCCCGTGCCTCCTCAATCTCCTTACCAGCATGATGCAGATCCCATCGCCGAGCGGTCTTGTCATATGATCCGCTGGCTATGTGTTTACTGTCTGGAAAGTAGGAGATGGACGAAATAGACCCTGTATGACCCTCCAAGGTCAACACGGTTGTCAAGCTCGATTCGGTTGCTGCTATCGTGGGCTGTTTCGATCCGGAAGTTATAGCTCGTGTCCTCACCAGCGAGGTTGGCAGGAACGGCAAGGTTTGTTTTGGAAGTGCTCGAAGAACCGTCGGTCAAGTTTTCTCGTGTGCTGTGGCCTGACGTTAATAGTAATTTCGAAGGATGCCCGACTACTGGTACCTTCAAATTCACCTGCTGAAGCCGATCGTCAGTTTCAAAGGAGTCAGCGGTGAAAGCTCAGATTGTTTTGATGTTACCAAGAGGCTAGGAACTTTGGAGAAGGACGAGAAACGAATGTGTGCATGTAGGGCCACCCTTCTTGTACCTGATAAAATGCCCCTTCCGCGTGGTAGCTCTGCCTTACACGGCGTTTACGGTATTGCCACCTTCCCGACATCTGAGGTCATGATTCAAGAAAATTTGATGTAACCGATCAAAACTGTAAGCCCGACGCTCACCACGTGACAGGCGCGGCTTGCTTACTTCTCGCTGATTGGACATCGCATACTACAGTGTGGATGCACAATGCACATTGATTCGTATATATAACTTAACACATACATGCATCTTAACCTCTTACCATATCATCAATCATACGCTCTTCCGCGTTACTGCTTGCCTGTTAGTGTTGCCATCGACGTGACGGCTTTCCACACACCCAAATCAAGACGAGTCAAAGACGTTGGATCATACGAGCGATCGTTGTAGAACTCGCCTCGTTCGTGTATCTCAAATTTTTTAAAATTTATGACTGCACTGAAATGATCTACTCGGCTGCGCTAAAGTTGGACCCACAAAATGTACATTGGGCCTTTCTCCGTATCATAAAGCATCCACGCTCTCGGTTATTCCGCCGCCACCGCACCACAAACGACATGGAATATCAGCTCCACTTGAAATCACGCATGCAACGGACTACACGGTCTTGTTCTGTAGGTCCCACGAGGTGCGGAGGTATGTCACTTCCATGAAGCCTCGAGTACTCCCGAGGTGACTCATTTGCCATTTAGGTCACGATCAAGGAGTTGACCGAGCGGGTTGGCTTAATTTCCATCCACGACCAATCCCCTGTTAAACCGCCTGGACATCGTGGCTAGACAGGCACATCAGTGGACAGACACGGCTAATCATGTGAACTTTTGGTGGGATCCGAGTTTTCGCAAGACTAGCCATGTTTGTATCCTGGATATCGTTTTGCAGATTCCCCTCCGTTTGTATCGAATGACGCGCCACCCCCCGCTCAAGAGTATAAAAATAAATATCGTACCTTTGTGCCTGCCCCGCAGCTGCGGCACAAAGTCGAGCTCAGCTAAACGAACACAACAAACCTGATGCAGCTGTTGCACATTGTGACACTTCTGAAAATTCGCAAGACCCCCTTTCCGATGTCGCTCCTCCTGTTGTCGGTATCGAGACCATTGTGGCGCCATCAATTGATGGTGTCCTTGAAGCATTCCTACCACGTCTCACGAAAAAAATTACAATTCGACGGAGTGTCTGCCTCGTGCATCGGCATCAATTTGGGAAGCCACTTATAAGCCGTTGAAGTACTCTAGGTGTCTCCGTCCAGAACTGACTTATCGTTCGCAGAGAATGCAGATGCTTTCTTTTGGATATCGCTGCTACTTGATCACTCTCAAGCAGGAAACAGAGAGCGGTAGGGTGTTCGTGCTCGTCACGAGCACGTGAACAACGCGACCACGCGAGACACAACTTAGAATCCATGGCATGGGTCAGTTCGACAGTCTCTTCCCTATATCAAGCTGAGAGTAAGTCAACTACTGTCGTCCCGCCGTTCTCAGATCGCTAACGTTCACATTCAGGAGACTGGATATCAGTTCGTCATGTCTAACGAACTCCAGCATAATTGTGCATCTGTTAGAGGTAATATTCATTGTATCTGGACTGTGGATATCGCGAGGACGGACAATGTCAGCCACTTGAAGAGGCTCCTTAAGGATGACAAGGGACCTCCATTCAAATACGTGCCAGTACCCTAACCTTCCATATATATCGAGCGCTTCGTCTAGATTAGCTCCGGAAGTTCCAATCATTGTTGCACGACGTGAATACCTCCAGAAAATCTCACAGACTCCATCGACTGCCGCAAAACAGACAGAACATGAGTATCTTTGCAGTCGTCCTCAGGCCCTGGCATTCGGCTCTATACTAAGTCGCGTGCTTGATGCATCATGATGACGCCTGGGTTATATACAAGTAATACTGCATACAATTTACATATGAAAGCTCGAGGCTGTTTCTCGTTCTAACTCTTCGCCACTCGCACTCAATATACTCTCCTACAACGCATCCACCACTGGGGTCCATGCCCGACCAACTTGGTGATGTAGTCCATCTGTTCTTGACTAGGACGCTCTTCAAAGCAGTCTTCTTCATCCGAGCACACAGTGAGCACGTAAACTGTCTGAATTTGAAAGGCCAGAATTTCTTCGTCGGAGAGCACGTCGTCGTAGTCACCGTCATACACAGCGATCCACTCGGGAGGCACTGAGCCACCCTTGGGATTAAAGCAAGTGACAGGGTCTAAATTATTGATGCCTGTTAAATCCACAAGGTGTTCGTATGCTCGTAGGAATGGCATTGGTTTGATAGCATTTGGCATTGCGATCGGGCAATTCTTCTGGGCAGTGTTGCTCCGCAAATCGGACTAGCCATTCGCGAGAGATTGCGTATCCGTAGAACTGGACATGAGGCTGCTTTTTCGGACGGACATTTTAATCCGTCGTTGTTTGATTGAATCCGAAGTCGAGATCTATGACCGTCAGAAAGTAAATAAATGATGAGAGAGATTTTTACCTTTAGTGCATCAAACGACTTCGAGAGTAGAGAAGACATGTTGTTTGTAGAGTTGTGAGATGATTAACAGTAACTGTTGCGATTGAGGGTGAAGTTATCCAATGTGAGGAGACAGAGATTCAAATGAAGTTCGTGCTATTTATTTGGTTTGCAATTATGTACACAGCCGCAGCGAGTTGTGGACGGTGGTAATTAATACCGTAAGATAGTCATTCCTGCAACTCGTAAACAATCGATAAAGTCAAACCACAGCGAGCTGATCCATGGATTTTCAACCGTGCGAACATCTACCAGAGGACTCCTTGTGACACTACCGTGTCCACCGAAATTTAACATGCTAAATTCGCCTCGTGCGTGGACAATGCACGAACCGGGGTTCCACAGTGTCAAGCCATACATAATAACTGGCAGCATGGTATAAAGATCTCACCACATTCGTGCAGGAAAGGAAACATAACTCGACCTTTCATTCATTCACAAGAAAACTTGACAAAAAATGTCATTTGCCTTTCCTGGTGGTCGTGCTCCGCGCACTCCAGCTGCTACGCTGCACCCAGGTTGCTAATGCTGCACCTCTTCGCACTCCAGATGCTGCGTTGTACCGAGCAGCTGATCCAGGACCTCTGCACCCACGTGCTCCGCTCTTAGTGGCTCCTCGATCAAATGATTCAGATCACCCTCGCACCATTCCGTCGCCCTTCATTTTCCTCGACTACTCTGCCTGTGATCCATTCCCCTAGCGCCCACAAATCTAGGACAGTTTTCTTCTACAACTCGAGTGCAGCATCAAACTATTAGTGCTGCCCCAGCACCTGTCATAACCTCCTCGTATCGGTGGGTCTGGCACAGCGCCATCCAGGTCCCGCACAGTCTCTTCTGGACCATCCACAAGGCCACCAGGGTCGTGTACTAACTTGGCCCCTTCTTTTCCCCTCAAAGACCGGACGTCAAAACGATCCCGCGCTTGCAAGTGGTAACCATCGTGCAAAATCACGTCACACCACCGGTAACAATCACCAATCTGAGGTTCATAAGCATATCCAACAGCCGCCCATTCACCCGTCATCTCCTGACCCACAGCTTCACCCGATGTTGAGGGACACTTCATTGACCAATGCTGTGACGGTTGCGGGGCGAGGTAGCACGGAGTTTCGCTGGTACCCAGTATGGGTTATCGCGATTAAGAATTGGATGTTTCCCAATTCTAATACCGATACAGTGGCGTGCAACCTGGCACCGCAATACGCCCTGGAGTACACTCCAAAACCTGGTGTGCCATCCCCTGGGTCGACTCCTGGATCTGTGGCAATGCCAAAAAAAACATGGGTCATTCCCGATTTTGCTCAGGTCCTGCAGTACGTGCAGACATCAAGCAATGGTTCCCGCATCCGACACGTTGAAAAGGGTGATTCTGTTGGTGGAGAACAAGCCAAAAATGACTCAACAGGAGGTTATCGATGGGCTGTCGCCCTTCCAGGCTGACACGAAACAGATTTACAAGCAAGCGGTTTATGCGTTCTTGGCCGACCCCAGCCTTCATGTGATCGGTGTTATCCTCGCATATGGTACACGTTGGAGGTATACCGAGATGTACCGACCGCTGGATGCTGTTCTGCATGCATGGATAGAGACCGGGGACACGACGTACCGTAAACGCAAGGGACGGATAGTAGATGGCGTGCCAGCTGAATTGGAGGAGCTGAGCGGCATGACCGACCAATCTTTTGAGCTGCTAGACAAAACAGGACGGTCAGCACGGGCTTTCGAGATTATAGCACGCCGAATTAGGAGCCGGGAGAGGAAGATGTGGAATTTATGATACACTCCGTGTACAGATATAATCCAGTGGACATGTGATCTGACTTTGAACGAGGTTGTGTATAGATAGAAATCAAATCTATGTCCTCAGGTATGGATCGTAGCGGCAGTGATCCGCCAGTCCCCGACTCCGGCCGTCCGTTGTTTTACCGTATACTTATTCCCCACTCAAATTCCCCATCTTGATCCTTGCTTCAGTTTGCATTCTCTCGATTTCCAATGATGTCTGAGAGGACGACCTCACGCGACTTTAACACGTGTTGAGAGGGGAGGTAGCGCTGAGGCGCTCAAATATCGCATTCTTCCCTGATAGACAATGTATGAGGACAGGCTCTGCGGACACGTATCATCTGGTATTTTGAAGACTATTCGTATTGTGTCGGTACGCACTGTTGGTTTAAATTGGTGGCTGTATCACGAGACCGGAGATGCGGTGATATCAACGGAGAGTTCATCGCGCAGCACGGATACGCCAGCTAATATCTGAAGCAAAGCATCAGAGCCTTCCAGAGAAACATCAAGTCGATGGACGTTTCTCCGGATAGCACAGTACTAGCTACTAGCTGAACTGGACAGACCAACGAAGCTGTGGAGCACGAAAGCGTGATAACTGGGAGGAATTCCAATAGAATTTCATGTAGAAGGCATGCAGGTTTTCGTACTTCACAGGATAGAAGGTATGACTGTCTTGACTATGTTCAGTAGATGGAGGACAGAGATAAGAAGTGATAACGCGGAAACTAGCTCAGCAACATTGAAACGTGGAGGCTTTGAGGGCGTGAGAGCTAGCAAAATCATAAAAACGAGGGTATGAGGGTACTATAAATTAACGTTTGTTCAAGGCAGGAGGAAAGATTGCTTTCGGACATTGACGGGAATAGTCTTACATAATCTGAACTCTTCGCCGCTTCCGTTTGGCTTCCGTTCAACACTTCGATACATGTTCGATTTCCGCATAACCCAAAAAACATGGTGAGGTTATCTCAACGTGCATGTTACCTTACACTGAAATGCATTTAGGGAGGTGGTGCTAGATACCCATACCCAAAGCATGTGTGGTCCCCCGCTGGCATAACCAAGCGGCTAGTTCCGAGCTACTCAACCTAACGATGCCTCAGGTGGCTGGTGGGCCCGTCCTGCGAATTGGCGGAGCAACACGGACGTAACTTTTGCTGGTATATTTGCCATTGCATACGGAGTCTGGACCGTCAGCGCAGACCGTGAGGTACGAAACTTGATTTCTCGTTTCTTGCAGTGGTCCTTATTTCGCGTTGCTTGAGCAGGTCAGACACGTTCAACCTGATCGACCTATCCCGTCCATGATGGTACGTTCTTCCACCTCGTGTGCTCCCAGTCTTGCTCACTCTTTTGCAGTGGGCAAAACAGTACAAGGACCGATCTCGGGAGAGCTGAGACAGGTAGCGGGGAGTGTATATTTCAATCAGTCGAGCCGTCTTGTCCCATTCGGTTATATCCTTCATCATATATATATATTGCCACCCCTGCCCGAGCATCTCAATTTTGCGTCCTTTGGTCGACTGAACCCGCCAGGGGGCCCTGATATTCCAGAGTAGTGCCGAAAGGGTGCGTTCCTGTATCACAGGTCCAGAACTTGTTAAGAATGCCATTGTACATATTGACACACGTCAGAATCGTTGTGATGTTACTAGTGTGAACAGAAGATATGCCAGATTATATAGTATATCGCTCATATGTATAAGCTAATCGACCGTGACGTGAACAATACCTCATATTTCAGCTTCGTCAGGCCCGAAAGGATCCCAGTCACTTGGTTTTTCTTCCGCTGCAGGATCTTCATCATCGTCAAGCTCATCGAACTCTTCTTCCCTCTTGTCATCCCCGGCATCCCAGTCATTCGGAGTTTTGCTCACCTTCTTCGTCAACTCGAGCATTCGTTTATTTGCGTAGTCACACACGGCGTTTCGTTGATGGCGAGGCGGGGAATGGGGTGATAGCTGAAGTGGCAGAGGATGAATAGGTGAGGGAAAAGATTGATGAAGAAAGTGATGAGGGCGATGAAAAATCAATGGAGGAGCACATGGGAAGAGTTGACGATGACTACCAAAATTTGGTCAGTATATTTGCATCTCAAGGAGCAGAAAGGAACATACGATATCAGGGTCAACTTCCCCTTCTGCATCAACATCCTCTTCCCCCACGCCACGTTCTAGGCGCTCCTGCTCTTCCTCGGCCTTCAAGAATTTCTCAAACGCCAATATACCATTCCACCGGGTTACTTCAATGCCAGTAAGGATTATGGAAGACTGTTGCCGATGACGGTCCGAATAGGTCTATGGAACCCCATGCCATTGAAGAGGAAAGGTTTGTTGCCAACGCCCTTGCGACCTGGGATCTTCTTCGTGTTTAACGTTATGTGAATTTGAGTCGTAGAGTCGTGATGCTATTCATGAACATGAGACCTGTCCAGGAACATAAAAGACAAAAGACACACATATATGATACCTTTCTCTAGGTCTCCGCCCGGAGCCCAGAGCTGCGAAAGCTTGAAGTCCTCTTTCCGCTTCCCACTGCCAAATGTCGTCTTCGCCATCTTCAGCGTCAAGCAAGCTACCCTCTGAGCCATTGCCAGGATAGTGGTACGGGTCTCTCGCGGTAGACGCTTTGACCGTTGTCTTCCCGCTTGTTATCTCCCCAGAACGCGAAATTTCTATATCGTTTTGCACCTCGAACAAATGTCCTGGCTCGGGACCGAAGTCCGGAGCTGGTTGTTTACCCTTGGACGAAGAGGACACAGGGTGACTTGCATGTAGTGGGATACTGGCGTGCCGTGCGGCACGTCGAAAACGGTATGATCCGCCCATCTCGCTTTCCTTTGCTGGCTGGAAGACAAACTTGATAAGCTTCCGCAGGTGACCGAGTGTGTAAGTCAGAGGGACTTGAACAACTCTGTAGACCCCATCTTTGTTTGCGTGGCTTCTGCCATCACCCTCCGGGCGGATCAGCTGGAAGCGGAGTGGCAAGTGCTTCGCATAGGAAGAAGGGCGGGGAAGTGTGGTGCTTGTTGTCAGCCGCCGAGCGCGACCAAATGGGTTGGTGGGGGAGTCAAAGGGCACTTTCCAATTTCTGAGACTAGAAGGCGTTCTGGGTGTCGCATACAATGAAGAAGCTGAGGTAAAGGGCGAGGACGGCGGTAAAGAACGCGATAGTTGTCGACGTTTGGGACCACGGGGTGATGCTGAAGGGCTTTCATAGACGTCTAACGGTCGTTTAGAGACCATCATTAATCTCTGCAGGACTAGAGTGGTCGAGCAAGAGACTGGAAGAGGATCTTTTAAAATTGTCGCCGATCGTCGCTTTGATCAAGATGTGGACCAGAATAATATTTGTCCACGCTTGTCAAACGCGTCGCGTAATTTTCAACAGCTATACGATCACGTGATTGACGCGTTTGATGTAGACTCGAACTTATTTCACGCTATGTAGTACCACGTACGTGCTCCTCTTCCATTTCACGCGATGACTGTGAATACATTCGCAGAAGAATAATTTTGCCACTGAGGAGATACCAGGGTATCACCGAGTCTCTGGCCCAACGAGATCGAATTAGCAAAACACGACTTTCGGTGGTGGTCAAAGGTCATCTGTTTTGACGATACTTGTTCAAGCTGCGCTCTACATCAGTATTATTGGCGGTAGATTTCGACGATGTCAACAAGATCATTGGGAGTCCGAAGCAAGCCACTTAGGCTTCAAGTTGGTTATATTGTAAATTTGAAGTAAACAACTAATACATGTAGTTAGGGAAACGCACGGGTACGGGTAACACCGCGGTTCTATGCTGACGGGTTTGGAGGGTACGGGTACGGAGTAGGATAGTCGTACCCTTGAGCATACCGTGGCCATTCACCGCGGGTTGACGGTGTTTGGGCGGGTATAATATACCAAATCGGGAACCAGGCGCGCGACAGCCATTGAACACCGTGTTTGATTCTCTGTTTTTCCTTCCTCTGAGAGCTTGAGGATCACAAGTGAATGCTATACTGATTTCTGTCATGTCTTTGTACCCCCGTGAATCATTCTAGCACGAAGAGTTTATTGATAAATACGAGAAATCTGCCGAGATTACTGATGACAATTGAAGCAGACACAGTCCGTATGCAACATTTAATTTTGCACTGACACTGACAACTATACAGAACGAGGATGACTTTGGTGACTACTCACTTGGTTCCATGTCTCGTACTACTAGTAGCGAGTTGGATGAGTTTCTTCGATTACCAACTGTGAAAACCAAGGACCCACTCGCATGGTGGCAAAACAACTGCCGTGCTTATCCAATGCTGCATCGGATGGCACTCGACTATCTCTCTGTCCCAGGTATGTCTCCTTCGAATCCTCTTTCAATCAATCAATACTTATTATCTTGCTCAGCAACATCAACTGCGGTTGAACGTGTCTTCTCGCAGGGCCGGCAGCTCCTTCATTTTACTCGCAACCGACTCGCACCATCAACAATTCGTGCCTTTCTCTGCCTCGGAGCGTGGGGCAGAAGTGATCTTCTGGTGATGGAGGACCTTTTAGCCGCTGTCAGGACTCAAAAACGGAAGCGAAATGAAGTCGAAGCAGAGGAGAATGACAAGGAAAAGTAGTACTATTTTATTTCATTGTTGTTAATACTTAATACACTCTTCTTGGTAATGTACCCGCGGTGTTCAGAGACACCGCGGTGTTTTCCATAAACCGCGACATTGACGGGTCGGTGTGTACCCGTACCCGTGAAGGGTACGGTGTTGGCGGGTGCGGGTGCGGTGTCAACTTTCCGACCCTCGGTGTTACCCGTGCGGTACCCTACATGTAGTGCAAGGAGCAGGTTTGAACACAGAAGACGACAAGTGCCAGTGACCCATGAAGCTAAGGGCTTATCCTCCACGCCCTTCTGGTCATTGGGGATAATCGTGCTCGTACCTGTGCTGACACCGAAAAACTGGATTCTTCACTGCTATCATGATGGTGGGCCAACCGCAGTTTTATTAAATCACGCTTGCTCTCTGCGAGGTTTAATAGGACGCCTTCCATCAAGAATTTAGCTGACAGCGCTGTAGAAGTGACAACGAATCATGGAATTGAGCATCCTCTTTAGAGATCAGGTCTCTGCTGGCATCGTCACTACAACAATGATATCCAGCACATGAAGGCAAATCGAGTCGAGTTCGAGTTCAAATCACGCTTGCGCTCTGCGAGGTTTGATGGAACATCTCCCATGTTAGGGTTTAGCTGACAACGCTGCGGAATTGACAACAACTCATCGGATTGAGTATCCGTTTGGAGATCAGGTCTCTGCTGGCATCATCGCTACAACAGTACATACAAGCAAGGCGTCTTCGAGATCCTACTACATACCTGAATCCCCTCCTGACAGATTCATTCACATCCTCACAAGAACAAATGCGGTTCTCCTTTATCCTCATCATCGTTGCTACTTTGATAGCATCAGTATCTGCCAGTGACGCTGCAACTGAGCATTGTCCTATCTTTTGCATTCATGATCGTCACTGCAGCAGCTGCAAGACGCCGAAATGTGTAAGTACTTATGAGTAGTTTGTGCTCTGGATTTAACTACATGACTCACCGGCGTGGTATTAGACATTCATTGGGATGTGCCAGAGGTATTGAACAACGTGTTTGCTTCTGAAAGCCGCACGAGCAATGGAGATCTTGGAAGAGTGGAGATCTGTGGTGTCTTCCGTTGCCACCGAGCACTGCAGACCATTATGTTTTTCGATACATTCTCAAGCATACTGAAATATGGCGAAATATGATATATATGTAAGGGTTTAAATTTTCCCAGTGAAAATCGACAAGAAAGAGGTACAGTGATCCCACGGTCCTTTGTACACTACTACTCCACTGTACAATTTGATTTTCTCATTGCATTCTTTGTCGACTCCCTGCAAATCATATATCATCATGTTCAGAATACATCCTGCTATGCGATGGTACCAAAATTACAGTGCTCAAATTTATAAATCCATCCGAAGCTGCAAATTATACCTCTAGGGCAATATATTTGAATTTCTCGAGCATCAAAACCTCACCACTGCACTAAGTTTCACCCCATTCTACTTTATGTATGAACATTACAGATGGATTAGAAGCAGTGGAGATGATTTTAGTCAAAGTTTCATTGGTGAAACACGTTGTGATCCACGAGTAACTTCATTATACAGACTAAGCTTGGACACGAGGTGCCTTTTTGACTCAGTCTCGCTCAACATCTCCCTTTTGCTGCCAGTATTCAACATATATCTTCAAAACACGCATATATTCTCTTAATATGGTTGGGAGGCCAAAATCATTGACGAAGAAGGCACAGGTCTTGCGTGAGGAGAAAGAAAAAGTCATGGCTCGTGCTGTGGCTATGTACCAAGCTGAACTCGCAAAACCAAGCTCAGAGAAGAAGCAGGGCCTTCGAAAGGTGTGCAGGGATGTTCAGAAGGCATACCTCAAGGAAACGGGCCAAGTTGTCAGTTTAAATCATAATACTCTGGAAAATCTCACCAAGGGAGGGGTTCGGCTTAGCGAATTCAATAGCTCCACGAAAAGCTGGCTCACACCCACAGAAACAGACAAAGTTATCAAATATGTTGTGGAAATGGCTCGACGTGGCTTTCCACTTAGCCACAAGCGTCTCAAGGAGCATGTTGATGAAATCTGTCGAGCCTGACTTGGAGATGTCCTTCCCGCAGTCTGGAGTGGGAAAAAACTGGACTCAGCGCTTCGTCGAGAAGCACTCTGATCACCTACGAGCTTACCGAGCACATTCACTTGATACTGCTCGTGGCCGTGCCGTGAACCTGACAACTAACAAGGCATGGTTCGAAATGTTGAAGGATGTCCTGGAGAGTGGTGACGACAACAAACCAATGGCACCAGAGTGTATTTGGGGTGTCGATGAGACTGGAATTCAACCAGGAGGAGGAAGCACCCAAGAACGAGCACTTGGTAGTGCTGGAACGCAGGTTCAGTATCAGCAGCGAAACGGCAATCGTGAAAACATTACTGTGTTAGTCACAATTTGCGCAGATGGAAGTACAATTGCACCTGCGGTGATTTTCAAGGGAAAGGCATATCAGTCCAAGTGGAACGAAAATAATCCACTCAAAGCATCGTGAGTTGGCATGCATTATGTTGTGCTCTTAATCACTCATATAACACTGTTCTTTATAGTATTGGTTATTCAAAGAAGGGTTGGACTGACGGCGAGATTGGTGCACTCTGGATCAAACAATTCGATGAGCAGACATGTGACAAAGCTAATGGTCGTACTCGCCTACTTCTCGTTGATGGGCACAATTCTCACTACACTCGCGCATTCCTGGAGTATGCTTGGCAGCACCGAATTCACGTCCTCTGCTATCCTGCACACAGTACCCACATCTACCAGGGCCTAGATGTGGCAGTATTTGGTGTCCTTAAGCAGTGTTGGTCAGAAGAACGAGACAAATGGGAGCGCGAGAAAGGAGAGAAAGTGACGAAAAGCAACTTCCTTGCAATCTATGGTGCTGCCCACATTCGTGCACTCACATCAGAAACCATTAAATCTGCATTCCGAAAAACTGGTGTATGGCCTTTCAATCCTAAAGTCGTCACAGATGAGATGTTAGCTCCTGCTCGCGAATCATCTAACCAGGGCCACCTTCCAATCACTCCTGAATCTCCTGTTCGAGCCATAATACAGCTGCTCAGAGACCTGCAACCAAGGGCGGAAACTCGTAATTGTGATATTCAACTTGGTACAATTGCTGAAGAAGATGGTAGTATTAACGACGAGACAACTCCAGGTAATCCTCACTGTTTGCATTTCAAAGATCAGATCAATAATTTATCAAACAGCAGACGAGAATACTTACGAGAACGATAGTCCTTTTCAGACTGGTGATAGAACCATTCCAAATGTCTTCGCACAACTCGAGGAAACATCTGCACGATTCCTTATATCATCATCTCCCATCAAATCAAGTTCAAGGTTGCCTACCATGCCACTAGCAATAGTCTCACCCATTAAACGTGCGAGATTTCACTGTAACATATCTTCAAAGTCAACACGGGAGAAAAAACTCGAGGAGACAGTCAAAAAACTCACCAAGCAGGTCACAACGCTCAAAGAGCATGTAAGCGCCCTTCAAGCGACTGTAATTCTCCAGGGACGCTACTGTGATCGAGTTCGCCGTCATCTCGAGACACAAGAGAAGAAAGGCTGCCGAGAGGGTGACAATGTCAAGTTGAATGGAGATGGTATGCCAAGGCTACTTACCAGTGACGAGGTCTTCGAGCAAGTCCTGGTATACCAGGAGCGTCAACAGGCAAAAGCGGCCGAGAAGGAAACAAGGAAAGCAGCACGGATGGTACGAACTCGAGAGATGGAGTTGTGGATGCAAGAGGATGAGGCAAGAAAAAACCGAAACAAAGCCAAAACAGAGCAGTGGAAGGTAGCTGTTAAAGAGTGGGAGGTAGAACAACGGCTAGCAAAGCAAGAGAAACGAAAACCACAGTGGAAGAAGCCTGTCCGAGGACCACTCGAGAAGCCTTGTCCTAAGCCAAAGAATCCAAGGAGAAATGGTGGAAATATTGATGAGGAGGATGGGCAAGATCAAGGAGAGTTCATTGACATTCACGAAGGGTCGATTTGTGATGACAGCGAGTATGAGGATGACGACGAGTACGACGAGCGGTGAAATGTGACATTTGTCACACGCTGTAACATGGTTGTCACGCCAACTGTACAAACGAATCAGGAAGGCGAGAAAATGACTCGTTCAACCAAGTGAGGTGCTGCCAACTAAGCAGGGCCCCAGATGTTTTAAAAACTTGGTATATAGTAGATCAAACCCTGCTCTGTCAGATGTACCAGATCAATTTTTGTATATTAAAGATTTCATTTTTTTACACTCGTTTTTTCATTTCACCGTCCAAAGGAGTGGTTGATCACTGTAGATAGGTAGCAATAGACGTCTAAGCACAAATCGAGGTAGATACAAATCTAAGAAATTCGTGACGGCAAAACTCTGATTTTGTGCAAAACGCAAATAATATTTGCAAAGGTAAAAATGCTCATGACCAGCCACTTACATCAGTAAACTACAACTTTCTCACAGAGGTCACACACTTGGGGTCTCGTGACAGTAAGCCACAGGACTCGCAGGCTCACAGTCAATAGTGGTACAGCATTTCCAGTCACTCACAGTTCAACAGGGACTGACAAGCAACGAGGTTCCTAGTAGCACTATAGTCTACATAGCACTACTACAACTTTCAAGTAGCAGCATAAATTAATATGGCAAAGTGTAATGATACTGTCACAACTAAACTTAAGTCACTCACAACTCAAACTGACTCTTCGGAACGAAAATAGATCGCATACTAATAGAAAATGAGGCAATCAGAAGCCCTACATACTACATACAACTAGTACAACATATATGCATAGATGAGGACGGGATAATACAAAATAACGATGCGCAAGACTCTGAGTCAATCGAGAACTATGGTGCAGTGTTGTCCATGTGAGCCTTCCGTTCTTGAAGCGTTAGAATCGACAACATTGCAAGAAAAAATGCTCATGCACCACAAGAACTTGGTTGACCTTTTCCTCGTAATGGACGATCAAGAGGGACTTGGGACCAACCATGATCTTTGAAAACAACTCTCATACATCCCAGCCCGATATCTGTCTCATCTACCTTCTTCTCGGCTGCTGCTGCGTGAACTTTCAGCAGGCTCATAAGTGCCTCGTTTTCTTGTATGACACATTCTGCAAGCGCCTTCTGAGCTAGGAAAACATCACGCTTGGCTCTTACAAGATTAAGCACAAGGTTTGCTTCAGAGTCAGTTGGTTCATGCAGTGCGGACTATTGAATATAAGGTATGATGAAGAATACTAGAAATGATGGATGAGAAGAACTCACAATGGAATTGATAGCATCAAGAACATCATATAGGTCACCAATACCGCGAGGTGTTCTGCCATTGCATTCACTGATGGAGTGTAAATGATGAGTAAAATCGCCAGAGCTGGAAGCGAGCCCTGACAGTGATTGTAGAGTAGTAATATCAAACTTGGGTGATGAGGATAACATGAGGAATGTAGGTGTCTGGAAAATGCCGAATTCAGATCAACTTCATACCAAGTCCGCAAGTTGGATTATTGATGGCGCCAGCCCATTGTCCATTGTGCGGAAAAGAATTCCGGGACCATACCTCTGTCGCTCGTCATTTGGGCCAACCTCGATCTGGATGTAATGACTGGCTAGACAATTTAGTCCAACTTAACTCTACCTTGCCACCCACCGAACACGATTCCATGGCGGTGGACAATGAGAATGTTCAAGCCCCCTACAACTATCAGCAAGGAGAGGATGGGAGTCACTACGATTTTGGGAACCAAGGAGAGGATTTGGACCCTGGAAGTGGAACTTGGAATGAAGATAGTGAGGCCAAAGTAATCGATCACTTTCCAGAGCCTCCGCTGGCTTTTGAGGAGAGCTATACATTTTTGGGCCTATTCGATGCTGATGAAAACAGCATCTATCGCAAAACAAATCTTTACTATCCATTTAGTGGTCGCAGGGAATGGAAACTTGCTGCATGGCTTCTGCATTCGGGCTTGAGCATGGAGAAAATAAATTCTTTTCTAGCGCTAGAGATGGTCAGTATTTAATTTAAATATCACTACAGCAGCTTCGCTAAAATGGTACTTAGATTGATGATCTACCTTTATCCTTTCGCTCAGCAAAAGAGCTACGAGGTCGAGCTGAATCACTGCCTAGCGGTGTCATGCATGGTATGGAGTTCATACCATGACATATACAAATAGCAGTATAAAAGGAGATGAGTAGAGGAGTGTACAAAGGATATACTTCTCACTTATGTAAGCTTTGTTTCTATTTATTTAGTTGTATTTGTAGTTTCCATTAGTTTCTGTCTCTTTCCATTATTTGTTTATGTTTATTCAGCCACTTGATTACATCAGTGAGCCATTCAGATATGTTTGTAAGCATGTCATGTGACTGGTAATATTCTGATTTGTAAGGACTTTCCATGACTCATCATGTTTTGTCATGATTTGTCATGCTTTGTAATATTTTACTCATGTACTTTAGTAAGCAGCTGATTCAGCACACCAAAAGGCTTGGTTTGTAAGCATAATCTTACCAATCCAGTGATGACTCATTGCTTAGTAAGGATGGTTTCTAAAATGTATATAAGGACTCCATTCTCACATAATATGTAAGTTTTTCCCCTTCCATTCTTTTCCCAAACCGTGTGGGAATGTAGGAATTTGAAGTCAGGAGTTTTCCCACTTTCTGTCTCAACACTGTGAGATCACGAAGAAAGTGAAGGCCTACGAGTTGCCTTTGAAAACAATTGTATTCTTTTAGTCTAGATTGATTGTATACTATCTTACAGGGATCGCCTATACAATAATCTATCATTTAATCTATCGTCTTACATATTCAAGCCACATTCAGTTCAGAGAGGTTCATATTACCTACTAGGTTTAAGTTAACCTGACAAAATATACATACTCCTTTACTATCAAGAAGTGATCTAGCAAAGAAGTAATTTATTACCCTTTGGCCACCCATGAACACCACATTATCAACCGAGAAGTAGAAAATCCTGTTGACCATGAACTTGAGGAGCTGGCACCTTAGTCTTAAAGAGTACAATTGTGATAGTCATTGTATTCTGATCAACATATAAGACCCTCAAGTAAGAAGACAGCGGTCCGCGTTGGAAGTCTCAAGTAATTCAAACATCGCATCCTACAAAGTCTCCAGCCGTTCTCTACTGGCGAGACCCGCTTGAATATATCACATCTATCTTCAACCATCCTCTATTTCACAATCGCATTGACTATACATCTCGCAAGGTATATAGCATGGGACAGAAGCTCTCTCGGATATATACCGAATGGATGATGGGTGATCATGCCTGGGAGATTCAGGTGTGTAACATGGCTTTCTTAACGTTTTTGTCTCATGTGTTCCTGAAGTCGGCGCTTCCGCATGGCGCTACCCTGCTTGGTACTATTCTATCCTCGGACAAGACATGCATTACTGCATTGTCAGGTGATCGTGTTGCGCATCCTCTCCTTATCAGTCTCGCCAATATCCACATGGCTACGCGGCTCAAATCATCATTCGAACACTTTCCTTCTCACTGCCTTACTACCGGTCTCAAAATTCGTTCACAAGAACAAACGGATGAGAGGCGTGTTGCAAGATCGGCTCATTCATCATTGCTTGAATGTTGTGCTAGAACTGCTGAAGTTGGCTGCTCAACACGGTGTCATGTTGTCAGATCCCATCAGTCGCAGTCATTACTGCTTTACCATACTCGCTAGTTATATTGCCGACACTCCTGAAGCCATGATGCTAGCGTGCGTCGGTGGAAAGACATCCCCAGTGACCACAGCAATGTACAAAGAATTTGGGGATGCCTTCCAACATGAACCCCAGACATAATCAAAAACTCTCGAGCAACTGGAAATTGTACGTTCACATGCTCATCCAGACGATCTCGAGGGATTCTTCCGTGAAGCGCAGAAGTTTCGCCTAAATGGCGTGGATAAACCATTCTGGTGGGACTGGCTCTTAGCAGAACCCTCCCATTTTTTTACACCTGAATCACTGCACCACATTCACAAGGAGTTTTGGGACCATGATGCGCAGTGGATTATCCTTGCAGTGGGAGGGTCTGAGATTGATTTTCGAGTTTCTCAATTACACAGCCCACTACTGGTTATCGGCACTTCTATTCAGGTATCTCAAAACTCAAGCAGGTTACCAGTCGTTGCCACCGAGACGTCCAACGCTCAATCATCGCAGTCAGTGCGGATGCAGCACCTCCTGGTGTTATCATTGCTGTACGTGTGCTCATGCACTTTTGTTACCTTGTGCAGTCACCATGCATTGATGATGAGGATCTCGGTGTGGTGTTCAAGCTCGGGCTAGCCTCGCAGAACCCCATTTCGCTATAGGAGTCAAGCAGCCTAGACATCCCCATCGAACCCATACACCACTTCCTTGCAAAGTCTCGACTCACTCGACTCACCTGTGTCGCACCAGTCTATGTCCGACTCGGCTGATACGGATCCATGGCCTCGGTCTCTCGCAGAAGAGCCAGGGTTGTCTTCACCGTCCCTTGCTCGCCGGATCAGCCATCGCGCACCTCGGCCGACCGTTCCGTCCCATCGGTACCAAATCCTCCCATGTCCTACCCATGTCCGCCTATCTCCATTGGTGCGTTTTTAAGCTCATTTTACTGTTACTGAACAAACAGCAGGCATTATTACATGTATTCCCATGGCCGCAGCACTCGTGAGCCTTATTACATATCGACCCGAGTACCTTGCATTTCGCTACTACTCTCACCTGTGTGATTCCGGTGTCCTGCATGATTTGGGAATCATGCATGGACATGACTACTAGGTATCCCCCTAAAAGACAAAGTCTGTTAGCTTAGTCCTCAGACTAGTCAACCCATACCTTGGTATTAAACCTTGGTCCAATAGTTTCAGTTTTCCCTCAGTGATTCATGAATCCACCATGTTTTGAAGAAAAGTCATATGTGAGATGGGAATCACATAATGACCTAGTTGATATGAGAAGCAAAAATGAAGGTTAAGGTATTGCCTTTCATTTGGCTTATTCACTTTGGCTAGAGAAACCCATAGAGAAAAGTTCAAAGCCTAACAAAAACCTATCTAAAAAGCCCGCGTATTGTGTACTATTATTTGTTCCATTATTTCTGAGTTGTTTTCTCTAGTGTTTCTTTACTTTACTTTTCTATTAGGATGCTCTGACTAATCAGATGCTTCATAAAATTGTACCTACAGGGTATGATGTCATAATGATGTCATAGGACTTCACCTACACTCCTGCAGGTATTTTGGTTGAAAGATATGATATCATAGTGATGTTATAATGATGTCATGTTCCATGGAATTTGCTAGAACATTCCAATGACTCATAATGACTCATAGTGACTCATAGTGACTCAGAATGATGTCATTATCCCACCATGAATATTCTGGAATGTTCTTTTGCACCTGCTAGAACATTCTGCTCCAGTTTTTGGAATATTCTTCTCACATTCTGAAGTCATTACATCACCTTTTTACTTACATAATATTCCCACACAAAATGTATATAAGGAGAGCCCATTCTCCCCCAAAAAAATAGATCTCCCACTTGTTGCATTCAAGAATCTCCCTCTTGAGCAAATTGAACTCTCACCTAAGAAGCTTCAGTCTGAACAAATTGCTGCTTACAAAGCCCATTTCCTTTGTAAGAACTGTCCAGGCAAGTGCAGGGAAAGTGTTTCCCTTGAGATTACATAAGTTTCTCGCGATAGAAACCCAGTTTTGTGAGACCAGTGTTCTCACCACGTAGTGTTTACTAACCAACACGAGCTTTGGTCAACGTTGTTATTTGTGAGACCAGCGTTCTCACCAGGTATTTGTATACTGACCAACACGAGCTTTGGTCATTGTTGTTATTTGTCATTGTTTTTTTATTTGTCATTGTTGTTATTTGTGAGACCAGTGTTCTCACCAGGTATTTGTATATTGACCAACACGAGCTTTGGTCCACATAGTCACATTTGAGACCAGCTTCTCAACAGTTAACCATATATTCAGGAAACCAGTTCAAGTGTCTAGACGGTATATCCTAGACAATCCCATAGTTTCAATCAGAGATAATAAAGCTCCGGCTAAGTTAATCTGACTGATTGGTTTAGCGAGCCTCCCAAGAACTCACATGTTATCTACCACGAAAGAAGAAAAGTCGTAGACCGTGTTAATCGAGGACTGGCAAGAAGTCTTATCCAGTGTAATTGTGGTGTCATTACATTCTTACACGTATTTATATAAGACCCTCGGTTATTAAGACACCGGACGTTCACGCAGTTAGATAAATAGGACTCAAGTTCGTATTATCCCTTACTTCCCTTCCTTGGACATACCTGGTACCATTGTAGAAGTCACCTTAGTTAGCCCTCGATTGTGCAAATTGATCCCCTTGCTTTTTATCATCGGACGTGCCTAGACCGCTCTAAGTGCACTCTATCTAAGGTTTTTTTTACCTAGGCCTTGTAAAGATCTGGACCACTACCGGTAGTCTTACATCGGCAACCCATACCTAGTCTTACCTCGTCATACCTAGTTATACCTGGACTTTCTTTCCTCGGCCTAGACTTACGTGCCGCTCATCGGCATCAGACTCCCCACCTCGCCTCAGTATCTCGCATCGGTATCTTGCGCCAGGTGTACCATTGGTATCCCATATCGCGTCGGACAATTTCGGACTCGGACCTTCGGTCAGTTGGATATCTCGGGCCATAGAGCTTACTTCTTCCTTTCTCTTCCCTCACACTATTTGAAGGAAGTGCTTCAATAGCAGTCCCCTTGGGTCGAAGTACTGCACTCACACCCATTTGGATTAGTAAGTTAGTTGGTATATCTAGCTGATTACTATTTCTTTCACCACATCGGTCGCATCACAGCCGCACTAGACGAGTTCCATGCGAACAAGCATGCAATCATCGCTGCTGGTGTTCGTCAAGGAAAAGGTGGTAAAGTCATTGACAACTGGCAGATTCCCAAACTCGAGCTCATGCAGAGTGTCATCTCCAGCATCTGCAATTCCGGCGTTATAGCACAGTGGTCTGCGGATGTTACCGAGCATGCGCACATCACTGAGGTCAAAGACCCTGCAAGGGCTAGCAACAACAACAACTACAATCCACAAATCTGTCGCTATCTTGATCGTGCCGATAAGTGCAATTGATTTGACCTCGCTACTAGCCTGTTAGATTGCTCAGAGGACTCGGGAGTTGTTTGGGAGGACAATGCTGAGGAGGATGAGGAGATTGATGAAGATGTGAATGACTTTCCTGCGGAGCTACTGTCCCCGAGTCGAAGACCCGGACAACCATGTCCTATCACAAATTACTTTTTGATCGCCAAAATACTCCAAGAGAAGGAAATTGGATCGGTACCCATCCCACTTCGTTCTTTTGTCATTGGGCGCACTGCTCTCAATCTTGCTTACACTCCATCTATCAAGCATGCTACTGTCGATGAAATCGCCATTATGTTCGGCCTGCCTGACTTGCGACTGGCTCTCGCCGATTTTGTTCACTGTGAGGCGACCTATGGCAATCACATCCACTCAATAGGTAGTCCTAGAAGAGCTGCGCATGACTGATGAGCTTCCATTTGACCAAGTTCCAGTGTGGTTCAAAATTCGTTTGCAGGAGACCGAGTTTCATAATCCGCATGGTATTTGAGCTGCTCAAACACTTAATTGCGCACCACCTAGTGCTAGTGGTCCTTGGACCTTAGGTCGTTACGATACAGTTATTATTCAGACTAGCTCAGGGGGGCACTCCTGGCCTGCCAGTGGCCTTTCAGGTATGTTCTTCTTTTTTTAAATAACAATATTCAAACTAAGCTAAAGAATGATTCCCCAGGGCACTCCATTGCCCAGATTAGGCTTGTCATTCGGCCTCTTGGGAGACGGGGGGCACAATGGGCATGGGAAGATAAATTCTTAACCTACGTCCAACGGTTCAATATCTCCAGTGAGCGCGATCCAACCACTCAGTTCCATACACTGAAAAGAGCGATGCGCTCTAATGGTACACGGATGGGCGAAATCATTCCAGTGTCTCAATTTAGAGCGCCCATCCACCCTGTTCCACGTTTTGGTGCTACTGCGGACACCCGTCTCACAGCGTATAATAGCATGGAGCACGTGATGGAGTTTTGGTTAAATTATTTTTGGGACAAACACACCTTTTTTGCCTTATCTGAGTAGCAGTACTTGGACCAAATTCATACTTGATAAGAATCATTTTTGTAGCCTAAAAGATACACCATGTTCTTGGAGACTCCATTGTTGAATACCATTGACATCATTTTGTACTCAGTCATGGCACCCATAGAACACAGCAAAACCGTAGACTTCGGGATAAAGCTGGCATTGTTGATGTCAGCTCCCCATGTCAGTGATGTGCCCACACTGGACAAACTCACCGATCTCGAGCTTAATCACTTAATTGTGGAAGAAGAAGAACCAGCTGATGCTGTCCAGCCTCTCAGTCATATGTTGACACAGATTTTTAGGACATTTACCCTTGAGGTCCCAGATGCTACAGAGCTCCAGGTGCCATTACATAAAATTCGTTATCGTGACACCAGACTTCACAATAAATTCGCTCATCTCGATGAACATTCCATGGTTCCATTGTACGATAAAGAGAACTGTAGATGGAACTGGGCCCTTCCAAAATCGCATCGTGAATCCGGCATCATTCAGTTACCTGATCTTGAAGAGGGTGGAGACAGAGGAGAATAGTGGGGCAAACAAGGAGTCTGGAAGTGGAGGTACTAGTGGTGGCGAGGGCCCTGCAGAGGTCAGCACTACCAGCGGCGATACCAGCCCCAAACCGCACACGTTGGAAGACATCTTCTCGTCATTTTTTAACACCACATGTGGTGCTGTTGCCCAGGAGAAGCCAAATGAAGTTATGGCAGCAAACAGCGGAGCAGTGGTTCACACTTGGAGTGCTCACAACTCCACACGTCCCGTAAAGGATCAAGAAGTCTCGCGGAAGCCAGACCTTGCGTTGTTGGATGACGTGGAGGCTCGATGGGACACCATTAAGGCGGTTTGCGAGTTGACCTCGCAACTGTACACAACTACAGGCACAATTGGAAAAACAATTGACAGCAAGGCTTACCTTCTCTTGAGACACCAACCTTGGAGGCGGTTTGTTTTGCTCTTCTCCCTCACTCACGAATATTGTGAATTGCGAGTTCACATGTACGATCATGCAGGTGGTGTCATAACGCCTCCCATCCATATTGACAATGCTCCAAATGATTTCCTGCACATCTTATCCAGTGTCGTTTTCGGTAGCCTCGAGTGTATTGGCTACAACCCTTCAATCAGCATATTCACGAAGATGCTTCGCCCTGCTCAACTCGAAAATCCAACATCTCGCCCTTCTACGAGCAAACAACCTACATGAGATCAAGTGAGCGGTTTCCAAACGGATGGTCCAGTTGAAGGCACTGGGCCCAAGATGATCATCGACACACCTGAGTCTGACTCAGAGATAGACCCGGACGTGGAGATTGGAGAGAGCCTCCCTAGAGACCCCCCTCAGCTAGACATACCCCAAGATCCTCTCCGCACAACTTTCTCAGACCCGATTGGCAGGATCATAGTGAACAATCATGCATACGATATCCTCGAGGTTATTTTCTCTAGTCAAGGGCTTGTTGGACGCGGCACCGTCTGCTATCTAGCCAGGAGGGATGACGAAGAATATATCATCAAGGATCATTGGGTCCTCGGGAGTAAAGATGCGGTGTTAAACGAAGTTGAGATGCTGTGGGAGATGCAAGGGGTCCATGGTGTGCCAGAACTAGTTGAATATTGGCTTGTTGAGATCGCACCCAACGAAGTTGATGAAACAATGAACTATCGGTACAAAGTTTTTGGAAGTATCAAAGGCACCTCTCATACGCATGTTCATTTGGTTTTGAAGCCTCGTGCGCAACCTTTGCATGCATTCCAGACCAAATTAGAGTTGGTGAGTGCTCTTCGGGACATCATCAAAAGTGCGTATTAATTTGTATTTGATTTGTCTTGTCGAGTTCACTGACACATTTCTTAGTTCAACAGGTAGCGGTCGAGGACCGTCGAATTCTTCACCGTGACTGTAGTCTAAACAACGCTATGATCAAGGATGATGGCGACGGGACCAACGGAATGCTAATCGATTGGGAATTTGCTGTGCATATGCATGCAGATCAAAAATACACTATCGGTGGGACGGTCAGTACTAGTTTACTTCTGCAAGGCTTGGTGTGCTCAGGGCAAACGTTAGGGCACGCTGCCTTTCATGTCACGTTCACTTTTGTGGCAGCTCTCAGAGGCTGTTGGCAATGTTGCGACATCTGCTCGCAGCTGGAAGGCAAAGGTTGCCACGTCTTCCCTTGCAAACCCCCCCCCCCCCCCTTATCCTATATCACTACCATGACGATCTTGAGTCATTTTTTTTACGTCTTTGTGTGTATCTGCATTGAATTTAGGGGCCCCCTTGGAGTTAGACGCGATCTTTCGGCTGAGAGGAGTCAAGAGTGGCTACCACATCTATGGGCCGCTGACTCATTCAAAGCAGGCAGCGATGTGAAGACTTCGTTTTTTTTCCACCCCAACGTGGACAAACTCAAGAAACAATTCCATCCCCACTTCAAGACGCTACTCCCACTTGCGACGCAATGGTACGACTTGATGAGGAACAAAGGACCATCAAGTGTAGTAACTTTCCAGGAGGTCCTCCATCTAGTGGAAGCGCAACTCGCCAAGCTTCCAAAGGACAAACCTTCCCCTGAGCTTCTGTTTGCAAAGAAGGTCATTGCAGCTCTCCCGAAAAAGAGACATGCGAGTGACTTTGAGGGTGATGATGGCAATGATCATCTAAACAAACCTTCGATTATAGAACGTGGCATGATCTGGGGTCGGAAGGGTTGGACGATGGAAGTTACGCCCCAGCCCAAGCGGAGCAAAACTACATAAATTTACGTTTACTACTACTATCTCAATTTTCTCATACCTTCATGCATTGTTATACCCTCCTCACGCTTACGTGTATGAGGCTTGAACATTGAATTATTCCCACACGCATTGCAAGTTCGAGTCACTAATTGACATTCAGATACAATATGCTCGCCGAGGTGACTCAAAGCAGACCCTCAATCAATCGCCGTATAACACACGAGTTCGACAAAAGGAGACCACACGCATACTCGGTTATGATATCCATGAGTTCGACGAAAGGAGGTGTTACACGTTTACTCTCAGCCTACTTATTCTGACTCACTTCGAAGCAGACTCGTAAACTCGGCTGACTTCTCCTCAACCCCATTCACAACCCGGGGCTGCGCAGTATGACATCTGGTGTGCTTCAAATTCATTAAGCATTTTTCAAGGTGCAATGGCGGGTTAGATTTAAAAAGCAAGTGTTAGTAAATTGTCGGTGTGGTGGCTCATTTTCCCTCCTTCCCTAGATGCCTTCAAGCCTGAAGAAAAAGAGATCAAAGCGCAAAGCTATGGACTCTGATCCCAAGGAACTAGAAGCTCTGGCCAAGAGAGCACGTGCTCTGTTACGAACTAGGATGGTTCTGACGTATGGCTACTCAATAAGAGTAATCGGCCAAGGTCGGTTCAAGGCTTCGGCGTATACTAAAGCTTCAATGTTCTAGACAAGACAAGGAGAGTGTCCTCGACTTGAATCAAGTTCAATACAACTTAAGATTGGAGGTCTTAAGCGAAGGAAGTTCCAGGTAAAACCTAGTAAGATTAAAGTAAAGAACTACATAGTACAAGACAAGTTTATATAGGAAATGATAACAGCTTTAGGGCCGGTACGATGAGGTCATAGAGATGAGTCAGAGATAAGACGAGTCAGAGATACCAAGAATAGATCATCTAGCGACGGCAGGATGCGATTGTGATGTAATACAATGATGTAAGAGAAAGAAAATGAATAGGGGCGTACTTGACTGTAACATGCTCAGTCTCAGTTGATTGTCGATCAAATAGATGACTCACAGCATCCCTGACAAACAGGACGAACAGGTGCAGGGACAGGAGGACGGGGCGCTCAACTGGAGAAGATAGGTGCAATTTTGCATGCTCCAGTGCGGACCAGCAAATCCAAGGGTGCCACCTCCCTGGATCCGGCTGTTCCAGCAAACCCTCTTGCTCCACAACCACCTCGCAAGGGTCGCAGGAGTCATTCCAAGGTATCTTCTCTAGTTTATAAGTGAGAAATACTAACAAGACGCACAGAAGAGACAGCCTCCTCCGCCATATAGCCCTTCACCAGAACTAAGCACCACAACTTCCAAATCACGCTCGAAGAAAACAAAGGTGAGTTATTGATGCGTGAATGGTCATATATTAATTTTTATCAGACTCCTGTTGTTTCTGCACCAACCTTCGAGTTATCAAACCCTCAGCCTACTTTTCACAACGGGAAGCTGGTGGACGATACGGTTTTTCACCACCAATCGTGCCCCCCAGCACGGAACCAGACCTTCAAGCATTGAACAACTCATTCGTGGCCGCATCCAAGGAGAGGCACGCCCTGCCTGTTCCCAATCATTCCCAAAGTCAGACTCATGCTACTATTCCTGCCGTCAAAGGTCGTGTACCTTCCAGCACCTCCTTGACTACCGTAGTGCTACCAGATGCTGACTTTTACAAGAACTTGGATCCTGCTCTCCGGATGACCAGACCGTCAGGTACACAATCCGAACAGTCGGACACATCCAAGGATGAGTCATCTAGCTCAGATGAAAGTAACGGAAATGAGCAAATGGGGTGGGGAGAAGTCCATGGGCATCATAGTACACACCCTGGTAAGCCATTGCCTATTTCCATTGAGGTTGAGCTGAAAAGTCGCAGGGTTTTTGAGAGAAGAGCCACCACCCCAACCTCAGGTGGTGACCGCTCTTCCAACAGATTTTGAATTTCAGTATTCTCGCGATGAAGGTGATGAAGTTGCCAAGAAGACTTTCACTGTTGGTGGTGATCTGAGCGAGGATGGTACAACGATGGATCAAGAGAGTGACCCCAATGTATGAGCCCACTACTTTGTTGGAGTACACTAATATCTCATTCAAGCTGAGTGACGTCTTGAATCTTCACCACAAGAGAAATGGCCGCCCCCGACTTCCTGATCCTGCTCTCCTGGAGCTTCTCCGTGCTGCCAAGATAGATGCCTCTAACTCAAAGGCAAAACAGAAACGGAAGCACAAACAGAAATCGAAATCGAAACAGAAGTCAAGGGTGGTCAATGGATCCGAATCCGATAGTGAAGGGCCCAAGGCTACCTAACTAGGATGGTATAGTTCACGCTGGAAGAGTTTCCTCGAGGATGCGAAGGCGGAGTGTCGTACCCAGCAGGCATTGGATAACCCTTTCCCGAGCCTTATTCATGATCTGCCGGTCTCAATCACAGAGTCGCTCTTAGCCTCTCTCGTTCAATGGCTTAAAAATGGCCAACAAGTTGATGCTGGTAAGCTACAATTTCCCTTGAGATATTCTACTGACTCGAGGTGTCTACTAGGTGTGTGGCCCGCTCGTAAGCCTGACATGGCGAGGCTGGTGAGTATCTATTTTATGGTGTGCTTCTTGTCTGATTTATTTTCTAGCTGTATGATGACTTGGCCACCTGGCACTCTGACCTGAAGAAAATCGCGATTTCCATCACCTCTTCGGCATACAGTCTTTCCCCACTAGCTGATATCCCCGTTGAAGAACGTGCAGCTTGGGTTGAAGCTGCCACCACAGAATTACTGGATGGTGGTAGATTTCTGCACTTTGGGCTAGATGAATTGGGGAAAACTAGGAATTTTGCGCATCCTGCGCTTCTTCAGGCCATTGTCCTATTTTTCTACACCGGAACTTATCGTGTTGCTCGTAGACGACCAGCCATTTTTCGGAAGGAA